CACTACGATTGTTGGCCTGTGATAAGTATGACGGTGTTCTGAAATTTGGTGGAGGGTAAAGATATGATCACTACGTCCTCGACCTGAACGAAACCCAGCCTGCTCCTCGCGAGTCAATCTTTCTCGGGTTTTGAACAACCTACTAAGTATGACGGAAGCCAATAGCTTGGAGGCAATCGGAAGTAGACTTGTCTCCTGATAGTTGTTACAGGAACGATGTGAACCGTTTTCAAAAATAGGGACAACTATCGACTCATTCCATGACGTTGTTACATTCTCTAGGTCCCAAACCTTTGTAAACAATGTAGTCAGTTCCTTAACCAGAAAGTCACCACCATCCTTAAAAAGAGCATGATGGGCATGATCAGAGTCTAGGTAGGTACTCCAAAAGGAGCTCAAGTCTTGTACTCAACCACACCAGCGGTAGCTGATCGCGATGTGATCAATCTGAATTCAGGCTTGAAATGCAGAGGGAGGACGCCAGGTGGCACATCGGCGATGACTGTGCCGAAAGTTAGTGCTAGCCAGAAACAGGTTGTGGTCTGTGCGAAGTTGCAGTAGACGGTCCTCATTATCTGTCCTGCGACTAACAAGTCCTCATCGGCCACGTAAACGACTCTCTTCTGTGCCTAGACGCCCGACCTGAGCATACACGTCGTTACTAATTGACTGACAGCTCTAGATAGAAAAGAAACAATAGTTGACTATTACTATTTATTATGTAGTTCACAAACTAATGTATGTATCAAGTTAAAGTTTTTAATTGAAAGTATTTTTATTGAATTTCTATTATTAACAGTGTTTATTTATTGACAATCTATTAACGACCTTTGGCCTGGTGGATTTTCACGATGAACTTGATTTATATGTAGCTTTAATACAAATGAACTTCAATAGGATCTTTCCGAGAACTAATTTTTACTGTTACTTTTCAATACTATTTGTATTTTGAACAGGATAGATACTAAAAATGACTGATTATAACCTCACAATAAAATGTGTTTACGGCTTACTGAAAACGCTTAAGGATAACTCGTTACATGAAAGTCCATTCCTTACCAAAAGACGGAACTTCTTTGATCCCATTTCATGTCAACGCGATGATAATTTTTTATAATAATGAAAGTTAATATGCACAGTTTATTAAAGCCCTGGGTATGATCATACCTCCTGAGTTATTTAGAAAGATAAAAACCTACAAACACACTGAATAGTTTTTGTCTGACGCATTTAATGATGAGTGCTCGTCAATCTGAGGTTACCCGGCCGTTTATCTGCGTTTAATGAATTTGTGGTATCCAACATTTTCCGGTAGTTTTCCGTTTCTTTGGTGGGTGACTTTCAGATTATGGTGGAATTTATTTAGTGATCTCATTTCAAGCTCTAAATTCCATTACATTTGTGTTTTCCTCCCACCATGTTTGAATATACTATACAATGTGTTCTTAACAGGCAGACGTGGACAACTTTCAACGATTATAGTGGAATGTCCATTGTAAAGTACACTTATATACAGCACACAGAATAAGTGGATAGAAAAATTCCATTGAAGTCATGAACCGATCAATGTTAGACCACCATTGTAAACCTGAAAGTACTGGACAACCGTTTCGGGCTAGCATAGGACTCTTCAGAAGTAATCATCCACGACCCCTCAAGTGAGACTCGAACCCACAACTTTCGGTCTCGCGCAAACGCCCAAACTCTAGATCACTGAGCCGGCGTCCAAAAGTTTTAATATCTCACTCCAATCCACGATGTTGAGCGACTATCTTCCATTGTCTTCGTGGATTAGTTGAAGCCAGACATTGACACCTTTGGATGCCGGCTCAGTGTTCTGGAGTCTAATCGTTCGCGCGAGACCGACGGCCTTGGGTTCGAGTCTTTAGTGAGGTATCGTGGATGCTCTCTTTTGAAGAGTCCTGTACGGGGACAAAATGCCCATCCAGTACTTCCAAGTTTCTAATAGTGATCTAACGTTGATCGGTTCATGAGTTCAATGAAATTCAGCAATCTTCACAACCCCAAACTGAGGATAGAAAAATGTCTGAACATTTTTGGATGGTATAATATTTGTTGAACATTGAAAACGTCCCGATGGCCTCAGTCATTAATTAAATTTACTTCTACATAGAGCAAATCACAATGTTTTATCGATTCCCAGATAGTACAAAATAATGTCAGGCCATAAATTAATGCGACATAGTGTCTGGGGTTTGAAGTTTATACTAGTTGATTGAATTGTTTACTCACGAATATGATTACGATTGTAACTATATGGAAAACTACCAGATATTCAGACTGACTAATCAGAATTGGGTAGGGGACACTTACAATCTTATTGAAACAGTCTAAAGTTCATCCATTAAAACACTTATTAAGTGGATTAGGATGCCTCGTATTCTGTTGGTTTTTTGATGTTACCCTCTCAGAGCTAGTTGACATAGTCGTAAAGTCTTTACTATCTCCGCAAGAGACATTCACGGCGTCTACTCTAAATATAATTGGGAGATTAAACAGACGAGAAGCATTACATTGAATAAAGTGTCTCACCTTTACCTACGTACCCAAAGAGTTTGTCAGTTAAACTATACTACTATACTACTTTGTCAAAATGCTGTAGTACTAGCCTTTGTGGCTTGGACATATTTTAAGAATGCCCTTCAGGTGGTTTCCACATCTCACATAATTTCTCGACGTTGCAACCGCGTTAAAAAATCCTTAGAGGCGTTTCGTTTATTAAATGGTACCATGGTACAAAAAATAGCTACATAGTTTACAGTCCTAAAATTCATACAAACCAGTGATTCCCCATATGCTTTAGAATGGAAACCAATAGTATTTCGCAGTAATTTTCCATTAAATTTTTCATAAAATCAAAATGGTCCATTTTGCTGAAAGAAATCTATCCCAGATGGATCCTTAACCGAACAGTACTTTTTATTAAATACTATCATTATCGATTTATATAACTAATCATCCCCACGAAAGCTGTCATTCTATTTTGTATGGAGCCATCTTTTTAGTGAACTATTATGTAAAAATATACATGTGTTATAAATAAAATAATAACTTTGGTCCAAAATAAGAATTTATCATAAGAGAAAATCTCAATATTGAGCGTCTATCATAACTTTAATACAAATAAACAAAACTGGTCTCAATAGATATACCACATTAATACATAAAAGTGTTTACGAAAGCTCAAAGGTGTACTCAGAACGGAATACTGTAAGTGTTGCTGTCTAATTCGTGCGGAAAGCACTGATTATATTGTTCAAAATGAAAATGAAAACTCCGTGGTTAAACTATCCAGCTGATTGAACTCAGTAACACTAAAAACATCTATCTTGGCCTCAAATCTCTATCCTTTGCAGAATAGTAGGTATTAAAAAATAATATATTAAAGGTATTAATTGTTTCCCGTTTAAATATTAACACTGGGATCTGGCGGGTGCATCTGTGATGTATTCTACTTATGATGACAGATATAGACAGTATGTAACGCTAATCGCAAGTGGAATGCCTGGTAGCAGAAGTTTGAAATGAAGAGAAGAGGAAAGAAATCGGAGTACATTCGAAATAACAACAGAATTAGACAAATAATGGGGTATGTAAATAATAAGGCAAAGAAAATGTGCAAATGATGTATTTAATGTATAATTTTTATATTTCACTGAGTCATTATGATTTTGCATTGAACATTTTCATTCACTAAATATTCATTAGAAAAGCCCTAAACAATACTTCATATACATTCTGGACTTCATTTTTAATTAAAATTCAAATTATCAGTATAGGGTTGTAGTGACTCACATTTATCACGAGAACACGACTGGTTTAATAAAAACAATTATTATTATAACCAACTGTACCAGTGCTTGTTTTAATGTGCTTTTGTTTGACTGTGCTAATGACAGCTATTTTGTGCTCCCATTCATATACACACACTTTGATTGTGACTTCGCGCGAATTCGGTTACGTTCTGTAACCAAGCTTGTATCCTGGCACGATCTCGGTATCCTTTCGATACCACGAGATCGCCAGCAAATATATCTCGACTTAGTCCATTAACTGCCTCCTGATATTTGGCTTCTCGGGGATTTTATGGATTTATTTGGTTACGTTCAACCTTCGCTTTCTGATTTTCTTGGCGCGTGTTTCTTGGTAGCGGTGTTCATAGTTAACCTCAACTCGACGCCACGCTACAGGGTTGTAGAGATTATTACGTTTTTGATTGAGATCGTGAACCGATTGATGTTAGACTAGTGACTAGTGGAGCTAATCCGTATCGGGTAGAGACATGTATCTACCTCAGTACAATGGAAGATATTCGCTCAATTTCATGAATTGATTGTGGTTAGACATTAACATCGTTGGATGCCAGCTCATTAGTCTAGAGGTTAAGCATTCTCGCATGAGACTGAATGCCCTGAGTTCAAATCCCGTGAGGGGAATCATGGATTCTCTTTGCTGTCCAGTGCTTTAAAGTTTTCACTGGTGATATAACATCAATCGGTTCATGGTCTCAATCAAGAAAAAATTCAAATTCACCAGAACAATTTCTTTCATCATTTTACTTTAATCCAGTTTTCATTATTCCTTTGATTATTATTACTATTATAAAACTTACACATATATACACTTTTGTCTATTACTGATTACAATAACTTAAAAAAGATACCTAAATCACTTTAACTAATTGAATTTTCTCTTATTAAACTAAATAACTGGTAGAATGTTTATTAACTTGTCTTTTTTGGATTTGATGTATAGTTTATTTAATTTCTATATTATTAACCACGTGATTCGTTTGTTCAATATGTTCAATATCAATATGGTCGATAAAATAAATTTTTGAAAATAATCTAACTACATTATATAATTACATTCTTCTTAACAATACTTATCGTTGTGCTACAATCATTCTATATAGATACTTGGTTTTAATGAATAGCATAAAAGCACAAAAAATATTGAACATTGAAAACGTTTAATTCATGGGAAATTGTTTACAAATTTCAAACTGTAAATGGTTATCAAATCATTTGAAATTATTACGTAATATTGATCATAATCATAATAATAGTGATTATAATAGAAATTCAATATTTACTGAAGATTTGAATGATTTAAATCCATACTTTTTATTCAATAATCATCAATTAAAACAATTGAATGATAATAAACATGATTTATTAAATGAGAATTCTTTAAAGAATCTTGATTCTTATTCAATATTAAATGATGATGATGATGATGATATTAGTAATGATAGAAAGTTGAATTATGATTCTAACTATTACAACGATTTATTAATTCAAAATAAATTTATAAATTATTTTATTCTTATGAAAAATAAGAAAATAAAATACAATACTACTAATACTACTAATATTACTACTGTTAAAAATCGGCATAGTTACAAAATAATAAAATCAACTCATTGGCCATTAATTAATACATCTATACTTGGATTTACTATTTTAACATCGAATATGTTAAATTTAATGGAATGGTTACAATATAATAAAGATGAAACGTATTCAATGAACAATTTTAAACAATTATCAATGAAAAATGAACAAATGAAAATAAATTACTTAAATAAAACTAATACAAATGTTAATAATAATAATAATAATCTCTTGTTACCAAGTGATTGGTTACGTTATACGATGTTTATGCATCAAACAAAATTGGATACAATTCAATTTTTAACAATATTTCATAGAATGAAATATGTTTTGCATAGTTTAGAAATAAAAACTGGTTGTAAAATTTTAATAAGTAAATATTTATTTATGTATAAAGGGAATTTAGTACGTAAATTTGTAATTGATGGACCAAATAAAAAACAAATTCTTCAATGTTATTCAAGTTTACCTCAATTATTTAGTCGATTGCTAATATTGGAATGTGACAGACCAAGTACAATATAATTTATATATGAATATTAAATGAAAGTCAAAAAAAAACAAAGAAGGAATAGTAGATTCAGAAAAAGGTTTTTGAATACGATTCATTTTTAAAACAGTCTCCTCTGATTGTTCAATATTCATTTATGTTTACAGTATTATTGTATATATTGTATACAAGCATGGTAAGGCAACAAATATATATATATATATATATATATCCCTTAGAAACTTTTATTTAAATGAATAAAATGAAGTACTGGGGATGATTTGTAGGTTGGGTAGATGATTTTAGTGGAATTATGTTCTTTGAGTTGAGTTTGTTTTAATGATAAAGTTTTTATTATCTTTCGAAACAACAATATTATAAACGTGAAGTTTATAAAGAAGTGATTTATATGAATTTTGTCACACATGACACGATCAAACTACTCAGCTAAGAGGATTCGATCTGACTAGGATGAATTTGTTCATTGGTAAAGTAATAAAATGGTATAATTTGATTACACCTTTTTAATCACATTTATCAGTCGATAAGAGGAGATAAAAGAAATAAAAGAAATAAGAACGGAAAGGAAGCAATATTATTGGTAGAGAAAGTGAATAGTCCAGTTGTTTTCTTTATCTGTGATATACAGTGAATGCTTCGGTGTTTTATGAAGAGATTTTTGTAACTTTGAATGTAGTTTCCTTTACAAACTGATATCAATTGTAGAACTACTGAAAATCACGGAGCGTTGGACAGCTCGAGACCTACCATCAGTGTACATTCACGATTACACAGGTCTCTGGGTCAGCACAGAATTTAGTCAGAATGGAATGGTCTAAATTTCAACTCCAGTGTCAGATTGTGAACAAATGTGGTTCACAATATATCTCATTGATTGAATGTAATGAAGGTGTCTCGAACTAGGACACAACAGCTGTTAGATACCCTGGGTTTTTCAATGGTTCTTCAGCAAAAAGTATCAGCTCATAACAGAAACTATTCCCATGACAGTAGGTGTTCTAGAAATTCCAACCATATGGCCTTATGTTATCACGTTCGCCTTGATACTTAAATTTACTCGACTAGACCCCATATTTGATCATGAGTGTTCATTATTGAGGAGTCTCAAAAGAAAATGAAACAACTGTCCAGTGCCATGTGGTTTCCAATAGGTTCTTTAGTTAACTTCAGTTCGTGACATAAAAAGTTACATGCCGATTGTAATTTCGTTAAAGATGGTGCATTTTCTTCGGAAAATCAAATCAATATTTAACTTCATTTAGTTCAGTTGACCGTTAAAAAAACGCTAACCAAAAAAACGTAATATATATAAAGATTAGAAGCGTACGACTATCACTATTATGTATTGTTCAGTTGTTTATTTGCATTGTGTTCTTTTTAATTCTATATTAGTTGTGTATAACTATGTTCTTTCTTATTATCAGAGTTATATTGTCAAACTTCACTGCTAAACATTTCATAGATTAGTTTATAAATCTTGAATTAGTGTTCAATAAGTCAGTTGTTTAGTGTACATGAATAAGTAATTTATACAGTAAACAGAGAGTGGTGATTAAAGTTTACTATTTGTAGTGTACATATTAGAAAATATGTAAGTTGAATTGTCTTTCAATAATCAGTGTATTTATTGTTGGAATGTCGTCTGTCTATCTATCTATCTGGCTATCTATCAGGCAGTCAGTCAGTCAGTCAGTTGTTAGTAAACAATATAAGATCTGGTCTAATTTGTTATATTTCACATCAGCATAATGAAGAAAACTTGGAATATGAAAAGTTACGTTTTTCAAATTTTAACATAATTGGTGTACGGAAAATTGGTTCAGAAGAAACGAATGAAATAGTGAGATGTAAAACATGCGGTATTATACAAACTCAATCAAGATTGTTTCTATTATGACTAATTTTCAGTTACTATAGTTAACCATAGATAGAAATGATCTATTAATAAGTAGATGATAGTTGAACTGATCATTACTTATTACCTGCTTGTACTAGGTAGCATTATTAGGTAGAATGTTATGTTAAAGAGACGATTAATAAAGTTGTTAGAACATCTGAAACACTGAGAAATATTCATACAATTGATTCTATACTCGGTCTATTATTCTGTAAGGATGAATTACAACTCGTAAATAGGGTGATAAAAGACCCTGTTTGTAATCTACTGCAGTTTCACTTTATATTCCTCTGTTGCCTTTTGATCGAGTAATTAACTGCTTGTTAGTATACGAACAAAGCGCTTGAAGAATGTAATATGTATTGAACGGTAGGAAATATGTGATCGTTTGTAGGAAGATCTCGGAATTTGCTTATCAGAATATAATTGATCCCTTAGCAGTGTATAAAGTAATATGACGTAATCATAGGATTGTGCATAGAGTAACATGTATTTATACTATAAAATTAGTCTTGATAGATTAGAAGGATAAGAAAAATTTCGCTAAATAAACACTGTTTATGTCGTGTCATTGAGGAGATATATTAATGTTAAAATATGAATTAGAAATTTTTACCAACTCTTTAGTAAAACTTCAGAGCACTATCCGTAAGATAAGGTAGAAAACCTTTAAAATTTATGACAATACACCCATGAGCTGCTCGATGGACTACATGAGTAATTTGTCGAAGTACAACCAACATCATACTATTTAAGATTAATATTGTAAAGTTGTACATTTAATCTGAGTTTCAAATTTTTAAGAAATATTCCATCATTTCTACAGAAATATAGTTCGATAGCTTACACTGTTAACTTATTAATTTAAAACTCACTGTTAAGTAAAAGGAAATGTTAAGAAGAGCTCAGATTATGCAGTTTTGTGCTATCACGTATTAGTTGTTTCTATAAAGGACAATTTCATGATTCCACAATAAAAATTTACTGTTATCTGATTTATTGTTGTTACTTTTAGTCCGTTAATTTTGTTTCAAAGTAATTAAGTTTACGAAATAGAAGGGATATTTCATTTCAATTTTTTATGTCTATTCAAAGTACAAATCCATCTTGAAAGCCTTATCTTCTCTACCTCATAATAACATGTGAATGTTTAACGTTAAAGTGTTTTAGTGTCGGTTGTCATTCTGTCGAGTCCTCCATAAAAATCGTACACATTAGAATAAACTCGATTATTCTCTGATATGCAATTACCATAGGCATATACCGAACCATAGTTTCAAGATAACAACGGGGAATCTACTTTATACTAGTTTATTGTGCAAACTGCTTCCATTTGTTTGCATTTAATGCAAATGATTTTAATCAAAACGTTCGGATTATGAGTAAGAAAGCTACATAACAATAACAGTTCTAAAATTATAGTTAATGAATAATCTTATAGATACTCAATAAACACAATGGATAATGCTAATAAGTTGGAGTTATTCCCCCAGTAGGTGTTGATCGATTCCAAATGGTTGTGGCAAGTACAAATCAACAATGTAAAGTTGTGGATTTGGATCTTTTATTTAATCTTCCAGTTTATGAATTAGATTTATCCTTAAGAATTACATCATCGAAAAAAATTCACCTTAACAAAATTTTAGCTCATTCGCTAATACAGAAAGCAGATAGATATAAGTTGGCAAGTCATATCTTGAAAGATATATATTTGAACACTGTTCCGAAATGAACAATTTCAGTATGTGTAGGTTGTATTCGTCACATTTTAATCTCAGTTGGAGTATCGTTGAAAATCGGAGTTTATTAGTTACCTGTTCCGTACTAATACGCTCATCCATCATGCCACCTGGAGTTGAGCCCAGGACCTTCACTTTTCTGGCGAATACCATTAGAGTCACTGAGTAGTCAATCAGTGGCAGGATTTTAACTTTCATCAGTTTATTATATAGCGAAACGATCAGTTAATACCACTGACGACAATTAATTCACTTCCGAGATACTTAACTCTATTAGTCACGGATTTCTATTTAACCTTCAGAAAAAAACTTGAAGAAATCCCTAGTAAACGGTTTATTATAGTCTAGTTGAAAAATATGTGTGGAGTTATGTTCAGTTTGTAGGTTGTAGGTAGGTTGCACACTAGGACCAAGTGACCGTCTCTCTCTGCCTAGTTTTCAACAATACTTTATCTAAGATTAATTTAGTTTTGAATACCAACCATGGAATGATTCAAATCCTTACTGATATTGACAAAAACACCACATACAATGAACAAGTTAATGACCAAATTCACTCCATGGCTTAGTGAATAACATTAGGAACATCAGTTTTCTTAGGATTTCAAGCACACCATATTGACAAGTATCAAATAACACAAAACCTAAGTCCAGACTTCCCTGTCGACTACCCACAATCACTTCTCTAAATCTGAGGTAACTAATATTAATTAGAATAAAACAAAACTCCTACAATCCACTACTAATCACAATCAGTCTATTTTATATGATTTATGAAATGTTTGTCTATCTTTGTACAATACAACAAATGAATTATTACTTCATATAAAGATTTAGCTTATTTTAAGCAACAAAAATATAAAGGGATAAATTTATGAAATCATAAGCCAAAACTCTTATATATCAGAGAAAAGAATAAAAGTGAAAATTACAAAACATAGAACCAATCTATATATTTATATTTAAAATTTCACAAGGAGTTGTGCAAAAAACGAACAAACAAACAAACAACTCAACTGAATGCAATCAAAACAAGATAATCTTTGTTTTCCCCCCCCTCTTTCTCTCTTGTTAACCATTTTACAATGAAACAAGTGTTTGTATTGTTTTTGTATGTTTGTTAGAAAAGAAAAAAAAATATTTTTCACTTATATTGAGTTGGTATGAAAAAGTTAATTTATTTCTAGTGTTTAATTATTACTTGATTACATTTCCGGTGATTATTTATGTTGTCATTTTGAGTAAACTCTCTTCTTCTTCTTCTTCATCACGATCATCATCATTACTAGTATCATTAGTAGTACTGGTAGTTGTAGTGCTAGTATTCGTAGTGATAGTAGTAGTAGTGATAATAGCAGTGATAGTAGTAGTGGTAGCAGTAGTAGTTATAGTATGGAGAAATAGAAATCCTTGTAGATTTCATTCGTAGATTCATTTAACTTATATATTCAATGTAAAGGATTCTTTATTAATTGTCTTGTTAATGGACACATTTGAATGAAACCATGAATTTATATAAAATACATTCACATTATATTATGTATATGTCAATAGAAGTGTTCATCATTTGTTATATATGTATGTAAAATTAAAAAAGAAAAAAAAACCCAACATAATCATTGTAATTTTATTCAATTTTTCTTAATCTACTTTCACATTGATCAGTGACAAATTACTATCATCTCTATGTGTCTAATGAGTTAGCTTATCAAAAGGAAAACAACAAAACAAATGTCAATGAGGCACTTTAAAAAGTTCATTATCATACAATACTATCTCTCAAGTTTATTTGTTTATTATGATTATGATTAATAATAATAGTAGTATAGTTGTATATGGTTTACATTTACAATATTCAATTAAAATAACACAGGAATAAAATTGTTTGTTTTCACGTTTTTTTTATTTCTCCTTCACAAAAACAACCAAAAAACAAACAAACAAATTCATCTCAGTCAATCAATAAATCAATAAATCGATCATTTAAAATAACAAACATATTTCTGTTTTTGTTTTATTAGAGAGAAAAAAATTATATTTGAGAAGGAAATTACATTTTACATCATTTTATATGTATCGATTTTATTGATTTATTATTAAATTAAGAGAAGCAGTTTTTTTTTTAAAAAAAGGTTTATTTTGAACTATTACCAGTAGTATTATTAATATTAGATCGAGCTGATGAAATTCGATTAGTATCTGCACCACTTGGTAAACGTCGAAAACGTGTTTTAATTGGATAATTCTCTGTTAATTTTGTTGTACCTAATGACATTTGACGATATAATGGTATTATCGATTTTTTAGGGGATGATTGATTCATAGAATAACTTTTCATTTCATTTAATGTAGAATTATTATCATTATTATCAGATAAATTAAATATTTGACCAGATTTACAATAATATTGATCAGATGATGTTGAACTAATTGGTGAATTTGATGATATTATTGATGGATTATTTTTATCCATTAATTGTAAACGTTGAAAAGCATCATTTTCATCTTCAGATAAATTACTTATTGGATTCATTTGATTTTCAGATAATGGTTGAGTAAATCGTCGCCACCAATCAGGATTTGTTAAATCACTGAGTTTTTCTGCTTGTCTAGGCACAAGATGTTGTGGACTAAGATGATTTTTGTCTAAATATTCTAAAATCTAAAAAAATTTATATATGTGTATATCAATAACATTGGGTGACGTTAGTACAATATAGAAATATAAATTACTAAGTGCCGACTCAGTAGTTTAAAGGTTACTCACTAAAGAACAGATCTAAAGAAACCAGGTTCAAACTATGATTTTTATTTATAAAGATTATTGACTTGTCACACCCTAGGATAAAACAGTTATCCATTGCTTCTTGGTTTTCAATAGTTGTCCAACTTAATATATACCTTAAAATATGGTTTTATTTCAAAGATGGTATTCATCACAAATCAACATCAGCTAAGTATTTATCAAAGATGCGAAGCATATATCAACCTTCCCATCGATAAGGACAGGATCCAAGACCTATAGGTCTCGCAAAGTATACAGTTTTATTAAGTCATTGAGTCGGGAAATAGTGGTTTATATTTCCAGTTACAGTCAGTTCATTATACCGTGTGGCATCAGTCAATGGTATTCGTGGGTGACTATGTGAATTCCGACATGGTTGAACATAGCTAAGACTTTGCATATTCGCGTTTTAGCTGATTACTGTTAAGAACACAATTTCTAAATATTTTCAAGCAAACAGTTATCTACTAATGTAAAATGACTTTATATTAATATTATTTTCTGTATTGCTTCGGTCAGTCAATTTTACTGTGCAAACCAAAAGTTCCATTTATCTGTTAAACCGTACAAGAGCTGTTAAAATTAGTGTAAGTTTGACGTGAAAGTTCCCGTTAAGCAGATTAATATATTCAATACATTTGTATTCAAGTGAAGAACTGACTCTGGAAGCTACTAGGTCAAAACAATAGTCCTTTGTTTATTGGGTAATTCCAGGTAATGAGATCTTGTATACACCACTAATTAACTTGAATTAGTTGTGGAACTGGCTTTCGTGGCTGATAAACCAATGTTAAGAGTGAAGACTGGCATTTCATTCGGTGACGATATCTGAATACAGCAGATTTTATTGACCAGCATGAATCACAAAACATTGTCCGAATAGATAGCCGTTTTATTCTAGAGTTAAACACCTTATTATGCGCACCTATACCCTCATCAAAGACTGAACCCAGAACTATGAAGTCTAGAAGCAAGCACCAAACCTTTACACAAACAATTTAAAATGGATTCTAACCCCATTTCTTTTTATATTTAGCTTTTGAATTCTGCCTATTGATAATCAATTCAGTAGTTCAAAATGTATATCAAAATTATTATGTGGTCCATGACAAAAATGGTACCAACTGTTAAATACATGTTATTTTTTGTGGAAAAGTTTATCAATAATAAAATATTAGGAATTGTAGAATACTAGACTAGGCGCCTTGTAATCACCTTTAAAATACAGGCTTATATCAATGCACCTTTACACAAGATTTGTGGTAGGTACGTCGAATTTTCTATTCTAACTCATTGATCTGATAGTCGTATATTTTATCTATGAGATCTAAAAGTTGTATATTCAGTCTTGTGTGGAGTTTGCTATATAACTGAGTAAATGCTTCTTATTTGTCGATGATTCTTTGTTCGACATCGATTTGAGATTAATATTATCTTCATCAGTTGTTCAAACACCAGAAACCATAAAAAGTTACTGATAGTTAGACGGTCAAATTTGGAGTCATTATACATTATTTTGTATAATCGGAGTAACATTCTTTTGTTATTTGAAGTCAAACCTTGTATTATAATATTTAGGAGAATGCATAATTGACCAAGAAGACACACATCAAATGACAGACGCACGCAATCGACCAAAAACTTAGCTTCACTCTCCAAGGAGAGAAACACATGTTATTGTTTGAAAATGTAGCTTAATTTTCTGTAGGATATAGATATATATTCATAAATGAGTTCTATATATGTTCTCCATTCACTTTTGATGAATAAATTCTTCCTAACCTCTCTTGATTTCTTCACCGAAATAGGTGGTTGAGTTTTTTGTATAGGGAGTTTGTATATTAATAACAGACTCAGACAACCGCCTACTATAAAAACACTTTTAAATAATTTGACTGTTGTTCAGTCAATTGTCATCTATCATGTTGCTTTGTTATGAAAAAAGTCCCTACAATAACTTGTTTTATTTGTAAAGTATGCCAGAACAAGTAATTACTTATCATTTGTAAATATTTATTGAAATATATTCAAATTAAATGATATGGGCTAACATAATGTAGTTTAGTATCGCTTATTTTAAGTTTGTTTGTCTGACTATTCAATGCCATAGATACCAGAACTCTATTTCAGAAAAAAACAATTTCTTTATGCATTTATTCAAACCAGTAAGATAATTATTATGACCCTGAGTTATTGTGTGTATGGCTTTCAATCAGTTATTTCTGACAAAATAGCTATATAGAGGCTTTTTTTTTTACAGAATGCACATATGCTCATGAGGTAGCTTAAATTCATAAATACAACTTCCTTCCTTTCAAATAAGTTAGTGACCATCTTGACTTAGTATCTCAGTCGATAGTGTGTTAGATGTATAAAGTGAACGGTACTGGGTTCAAGCCTCGATGTAAACATCAATACCACAATGCACGTACATTTATCCGATGAATATCATACTGAACAAAACTGTCATCCGGAATTTCAATGTTAGCCATATGCTAAATGTGATAAATCTATAACTTAACGCTAAATCAAAACAACCTATTCAAAATAAGTTTATGCTACTAGAGACTGATTAATCACACTCTTAAGCATCAATAATGAAAAACTACAAAATAAATATAATCCTTGTTTTACTTTTTAAATTAATTAATGCATATTACATATAAAAGACAAGAATATTTAAACAACTTACTTGTGAAGGTAATTCAGCTAATACCTCTTTAGCTAATGCTACTTTACTCCAGCGAATACTATCTGATCCGTCAGCCGCTAATCGTAAAAATCGTCGCATTTGTACAAACTATTAATAATAATAATAAAATAATATGTATCAGATAAAGATAAGAGTAAATCAATACATAGATTTAATTACAGAGTTGATTCTTTCAATTCAATTTTAATCTTTTCTAATTTGTATGATTTTAAAATATGCTTAGCAACTAGAGGATACAAAAAGAAAACCCTGCATAAATTCACTTTGATCATCCACCTCATTTTAATTATCTAATAAATGAAAAAATGTTAGTTTTCATTGGATCAATTAAAAAAGAATAGTATGAGATATAAATTACTGAGGTGAGTGTTTATCTGGAATCAGTATCTAAGTAGATGACTCTTTGGATGTTTGAAAGGAAAGATATTGGGTCGGGGTTTTGAAGTGAACATCTATGCTATCTTGTATACGAATCCCGATGATGAATCTCGAATGCAACAAAACATGTTTTTTTGGATTTCTCTGCTGGTTACTGTCAGAACTTTATTTGGATAAAAGTCTTAGTTAGTTGATACGAGTTATCTTCTTCCGATTTCAAAGTTGAACCAATGGTTTAAATGTCACAGAGTACTCACTCTATTATCAACTTATTCGAAGGAAATTCAACAATTGTAAATGATAGAAATGACTTGTATTATCGATTATAACTATTTAACGTTGTTTCCCACTTTGGTTTTGAATTCCTATCGGTGTAAATTTCAATTTTTAAATTGAATTACTGATTTGTTACTTTGATGATTTATAAAAATTAGTTAGATTTAAAGATGATTTTCACCACAAAGTGACATCTTCTGAAGTGTCAATGTAAAGATGAACTAAACAGCTTTCATATCTCTGTTTAAGACTTCACAGTAATAAATACTTATGAATTCAAACATAGGATTTTCAGGTCTCATAGTAAGATCTTGTGCTCAATCACATGTGAAATCAAGTGTATATACCATTGAAAGATTGTTATTAAATGATTTCTATTCATTACTCATTGATTCGTATTACTAATTCATCTAATTTCGCTTCAGATAAATTTTCTTTAAAGTGATTCCACTGCTAGCCACTATCCATCATTGCTTATAATGCTTGTAAATTAAGACAATATCGAGGCATACGCACAGTATGCACATATGCCAATAACAGACTGATCAGTTTCAGTCCTAAAACATCAATGGGAAGATTCAAGTAAAAAAACATCAAGTGATGTATTATTTTGCTTAAATTTTCCAAACACATCCATTATCATCAGAGAGGGATTTTGTGGGTTTTATAGTAATTTAATAGTTGAATTCACGAGTTCATTGAAACTAGACTATCATATAAAACCTGGAAGTACTGTATAGCTGTTTCATCCTCATATGGGACTCCTCATTCATTATTACTGATTATTTATTTATTGATAATAGTACTGAATGGTATTTGAAAAATGTAATTTTCATTTTGAGAATGAATGAATGATATGTCATTTGAAATTCATATAAATTAATGTATATTATTTAATGAAATCTTACTTGTACATTATCTCTACAAGCTTGTTCTTGACCAACTTTCAGTAAACCAAAATCTTGATCCAAAATCTCCATTTCTAATTCAAATAACAATTAGTAAGTGAGATATCATATATGTTATAATGTGTTAACTCAAGTTATTGTTAAATTAATACCATACAGATTATTTACTTTTGATGTTTAATCTAAATTTCAAGCAGAAAGAAATCTAATTTATAATGTTACTTTTAAAATAGTTCAGTATGTATTAACTGGTTAACAATAGTTGACCGGGATTCCTTCCTCACCTAGGTTTCATGCTAGTTATTACTCGTCTGTAAAGTATGCTTACGATCCTGAGGAGGCTGATATTCCCCTTTTAGATTAAACGTTCAGTAGAATAATAGTAAATATGATGAAGATGAAAGAGATAGATGTCTAGTTTCATTAGATTTAATGTTGTTACCTTCATTTTTATTATTGATTATTTACTAAGTCATCTTTAGTCATAATATAATTATGAAATCTAACTGGTCAAACTTATGAAATCAAATATCAGTCAAATAGATTTCAAAAGACAGTTTAACTGAATGGTTGTCTAAATATGAGCTGGTCAATTAAGACTTATTTATGAATAAAATATCTAATCAAAGTGACGTCAATTAGCAAGAAACGAAAGATTAATCAAGAATAAAGAAGTTCAAGAGAATCAGTGAGTCCATTTTAGTTTGTCATATAAAATACATTGGTCGAATATGTCTTTTGTTTGCGTAGACAAAAGTTCCACTTTATATATATATATATATATATATATATATATATATATATATAATGAGCCGGTTAGTTAGGTTTTCTGATGACGTTTCTACTCATTTTAATGTTGAGAGAATCCATGTAGATACTTCAGTAAAATAATAATCTCTCATAATTTGGTATTTGTGTTCCTTCAATCAGTTGTTTCGTTAGAATATAGAAATTGAAGATTGAAAATTTTTTATTTACTCTGTTGTAGCTGATGAACATATTCATGTGGTATGATGATAATGATGAGAGTTTAATACGAAGTAAATGATGGATTCTCGAGACTGAGAATATCACCATTATTGGCAATGAAAATCACTATTGGTTTGAGTATTTTCATTACTATAGATTTTAAGCGCGTGATCAGAATTGTGGTGTTCACATTAAAAAAAAAGAAGTTTGAGACATTTTAATCGTTCTGAGGAAAACTGTTGAGCATACGGTTTAAAAATTTTTTGGTGAGACTAATTTATGGACGAGCTTTGAGAGACGCTTAAGTGACCTTGAGAGTGTACACCTAATAACTAGGACAAATGAGGGTTATAAACCAGTGTGAGGAATCGGAATTATGCATTACAGTTGCTGGTTAGGGTTAAAAATCAGATTTAGGGTTTTCATAATGCCAAAACTATATTTAGCCAAATGGATGAGTGAATTTCACACCAAAATCCGAGACCTGTAATCTTATATCTGATTGGTTCGTCCATGAATTATAGTCTCGTCGTAATTCCTTATATTGTTAGTTAGTGCAGTTAAATTTATTGACGTTTTAAATCTTACTCATATCACCTGCTACCTAACTAAATATTTCCAAATCTATCTGTTAACAAGATAATTAAATGACCTTTTGATCAATTGAGGATTTGTAGTTATTTCGCAAGGAACCCTTCATCTGCAATTGTGCCTTCTTCCTTACATCGAGCTGTATCAGTCCTTATAAGTAACCAATTTTGTTTGTAGATGGTATAGTATAGTATTTTATTAAGCTAAAAAAGATTTTAGATGGTTAGAGGCAGATAGTTGAAATTTCGCTCCGTTTAGTACTCGTCAACAAAGGGTATTTGTTACCATTAGTATACAGATACAGCAAGTATATTGTAATAGTTTACAACGATTGTAGAAGAAAGATATTATTCAATCTGAAATCATCTTCACGATCGTAAATATAAAATCGTTATCAATCTTTTATCACTACTGAGAAATTCTGAGGAGAAATGAACTCTGAAATACATAACTAAAAAATTATGTATTTTATTATTAGACGTGGAGATTATCCACTTTTCAAGATATTTTCATTACTGTTTGATAACAGTTAAAGAACTACTGAAATCTGTAGATCATTTACCATTCCACAGAGATAAGCTACATCATAACAAATTGACATTCTAACTAATTATTCATTCTATAGTTAGAATCAATCTGTAAAAATTTAAATTGTAAAAATTAGATTCTTTTCTCCTAAGAACCAGGTGAAATTTCTACTAATTATCAAGAAGGGATTGATAGAAAGATTTTCTTCAATTATTTACTACTGTTTATCACTTTAAAAAAGTAATATACTAAATTTACCTGAAAATTTCCCACCACCAACACCGAGTACAATGATAGATATGGGAAGAAATGAAGTCTTCATTCATAATTGAGAAAAAAACAAAACAAAAATTAGATATAAAGTATCTAAGTGAAAATCTAACTTGAATAATTCGTAGTCAATAAAAATTTCAATAGAGAAAGAGGAAAATTGTTGAAATTTACCGGTTTCATTTAAATATCATACATGATAATGTTTTACAACATTATAAGCCTGTAGTAAATCTGTGTATACATTTAATACTTTCTAGAAAGAATGTTTTTGTTAGATGATGGATTTAATTTAAACAATTCATATAATAGTATTAGAAGGGGTTTCGTGAAGATTGTAGTGATTTCAGTAGTTGATATCATGAGTCAATTGAAGCTAGACTGATAGGTCCTGGGTTCAAATCCCCCGAGGCGGGATCGTGGATGCGCACTGCTGAGAGGTCCCACAATAGGACAAAACGGCCATCCAGTGTTTCCAGGTTTTCTATGGTGGTCTAGCTTCAATTGACTCATGATCTCAACTATTGAAATTCATATAATAGTCAATAAGTAAATGGTGAAGCTTATCAATGACTAGAAGGATGAAGTAGATATATGACAAGTATTAATAGCGTAATAGGCTACACTATAAAATGGTTTTTTTTAGTGTTATATGAATTATGTCAGTCCTTCATTCTGTGTAAGTGGTTCTCTTAATAGTTTTACGTTTTCTTCTATAGTATCGTTTTGTGTATATCCAGTCGAGCCTAGTTAATTGACTACTTATTAACAATCTTTCATATGGAACTAAAAAAGGACTACAGCAGTTGAGATATTGCCTTATCTGTGAATAGACTTTTTGTAGATAGAACGTTTTTATCAATCCATCTTGTCTTTGACTTATTTATAAATACATCTAAGAAAGATGGCTAAATCTTTTTTTTACATTTGCACAGCAATAGTTGTGTTTTTATATTGTGATCAGTTATGGAATAGCAAGTGCAAGCTGCATTGAATGTAATTATACTTAGAAGATCGGCTCAGAATAACAAACAGTAACAATAACGATAATATATGATTAGAGTTTAGATCATTATTAGTACAGGTTTGAATTATTCCACTGTTGATATTTAGAATAGAATTTTGATCGGTCATTATTAAAATCCATACATCCTAGGTGGATTGTCTCGCTAAAAGTATTGTGCTACATGTTTTATAAAATAGGAGAATTATAGTTAGGAGTAAGATCTAATACAGTATTTTACCCTATTTGATATTCATCAGGTAGGTTTGCGAGCTCGTTTTTGGTGCGAAAGATACTGCATTCCAGTAAAAATGTGAACATTGACACAGTAGTGACTGGCACTATGTCAAGTTTATATAGGTTATTATAGCTTCTGAATAGACCATTTTATTTATTCTTCTCAAGCTATGCTTTGACCTTGTCATTTATTAGCTTATTAATCCTGACTGTATGATCTTGTGTGCGTGTACCGCTTACCCTATTGATCAAATATTTGTAACTTATTTTGGTCTGGCTATAAATATTGATTCATTCTTGATTAAATCGAGTTGGTTAACATGCCTTCTTCAGTTTGTTTTGCTTCGCTTTATCTTCCTTGCTTTCTCCACTCCTTCTCCCTGTTCAGATCAGTGATCGTATGAAATATACGCATTGAAACTTCATCCACCTATTTGACTTATTTAATTTCGTAAAGTCGATAATTAAATGCGAGGATTGGCAACATTTATATTTCAATAACGATCATAATATGATTTAAGTGGAGTCAGATAATGGGCTGCTAAAACACTGGTATGGATGTAAATCAGACTGATGAGTTCGACTGAGACGAAACATGTCTCTTGGATTTTATAACTATCCATAATCTATTTCGATCTTTGTTTATATCATTTTAACTTCACTTACTCTCGTAAGTAAACATAAAATTCAACAATTACACTAATAAAAAAGAAACAGTTTTCTCGATATTATAAACAATCAATTGTAAGCAACTAATTGATATTTAATAGTTCTCTCATCGTTACAACAAAAAAACACTGAATGATCCCGAAATTAATTGATCTATAAAATTTCACCATAACTTATTATTTTTAAATTTTATTTTCATTTTTCCTATTTAATGGAATCAGACTTGAATAAAGCCAGAACGAATATGATTGCAGAATACTATGAATTCATTATATTTCATGGTTTCTCTTATCAGCTGCTTATAGTGTGGAACATTTGACAGAAGTGAATGTAGAGTATTAGAATGACATAGGTTATCACTCAATTATTACATCACCTATCCCTAATGTTTTCTTGATTCTAATACCAAATAACCTCTTACCTGTTTTTGCATATATATGATTATTATTGATAACCTTTGTCATTCTAATTCTTCCCATTCATTTCTGTCAAATGTTCCACATTATATCTTACCTTAATGTAAAATTGTAAACAACTGATGAGAGAAATCAGGAAATATGATGAATTCATACTATTCTGCATTTATATTCATCCTGGTTTTATTTAAATTCATAAAGGTAACTAATTGCATAAATCATACTTACTTCAATTACAGATTTTTTAGTTTCAATCCAATCATCTACAGTACCATTAGTTAATATTAATAAAACATAATAATTATCGGCTGCTTCACTTCGTTTAGCTGCTCTTTAAAATAGAAAATAATTAATGATTATGATATAATATATAATGAAAGAGTAAAATTATTTATCAGTATAGGGTTGTAGAGATTATTAAGTTTTTGATTGACATCATGAACCGATTGATGTTAGACAACCAATGAAAACCTGGAAACACTGAACGGCCGATTCGTCCTATTATGAGACTTCTTAGCGGTGCGCATTCACGATTCCGCTCATAGGATTCGAACCCAGGATATTCAGTTTCATGTGCGAACGCTTAACCTCTAAACCAATGAGCTGGCATCCAAAGTTGTTAATGTCCAACTGATATATCTTTTTGTTTGAATGCTACTTGTTATAACTGGTCGTCTCTGGTTGTTGTGCCGGAAACACTTATCACTTATACTCGGAACAAGGGACCTCTGCAATTCTCACAACGCGAAAGTAAGAACACAATGATTGATATAAGTGATGATTTATTAACCTCAAAACATGACGACGACGTCGGCGAGAGCTAGTCGAAAATACACCCGTTTATATATTGATTGTACACCCATTTCGATTGGTAATTAGGATGAAATCACATATATAACAAATCACATACTGAGCATAGTTCATGTCAACTGAATACAAGAATATCGTATATTATAAAGAATAAAATATCATACGAGAAAACGAAACAAGTACTACATTGAGTAATCATTACATTGAATCAAAACAGAAGTATTGTTGAATAAAACTTATAATGAGTAAATCAATTGAATTTCGACTTTTCTTCTCGTCTTATCACTAACCACAATCAATTCACGAAATTGAACGACCATCTTCCAGTGTACTGAGGTAGATACCTGTCTCTACCCGACACCTATTAACTTCACTGGTCATGGCTTCTCACTAGAACTCTGAGAATTCCCTGACGAAGCTAGTCACTAGTGAACACATGGTAATTATTATTTATTATTTTTATTGTGTGTATATTTAGTAATTTGACTCGAAATATCACTATTTAATTAAGATTTTTGCTATTCTTAGACAACTTTTTTAAGAAAATGATATTGTTTGTACAATTTAAACTGGTATCAATCATAGTAGTATTGAAGTTATAATTTGTTACCATTGAGAAATTCAATCTAAGAGTTGTCATTTTTAATTAACTAGAGGTAAGAAAAATCGGCGAGATTATAATTTATAGACGAATCAATCAGATTTACGATAACAGGTTTCGGATTTTGGTGCGAAATTCATCCATCCATTCGGCTAAATAGAGTTTTAGCATTATAGCTGATGTCAGTTCATGATGAAAATCCTAAATCTAATTCCTAACCTTAACCATCAACTGTAAATCATAATCCTTATTCTTCAAACTGCTTTATAACTCTCATCTAACCGTAGTAAGTACCGTCTCTCAAAGGTCGTCCATAAATGATAGTCTCACCGAAAAATGTTTTTATCACTTTGAGCATTAACCTAATGATTACCATCAAAAATTACACAATATAACATTGGTAATGACAAAGTTAATTGTCAATGTTTATAATAATATAGTTTTTTTCCATAAATGATTTTATATTATTCAACTAAACCTCATTTATTGGGCATGATTTTTATTCATTTATTTGTTACTTTAATGCATCATATATTTCTTGTATATTCATTTTGGCACATTGGATAAAATAGTATTTTTGAAACTATGGTAGATAATTTCAATGGTAATGTGCTTTTTTTCTTTTACATTTCTCGATTATATAGAACTATTGAGTTGCCAATTTTAAAATGTAACGTTTTAGATTAAAACAATTATATGGTTGGAGAAATTATGATTTTTTATATCCTATCTATCTATCTATCTATCTATCTATCTATCTATCTATCTATCTATCTATCTATCTATCTATCTATCTATCTATCTATCTATCTATCTATCTATCTATCTATCTATCTATCTATCTATCTATCTATCTATCTATCTATCTATCTATCTATCTATCTATCTATCTATCTATCTATCTATCTATCTATCTATCTATCTATCTATCTATCTATCTATCTATCTATCTATCTATCTATCTATCTATCTATCTATCTATCTATCTATCTATCTATCTATCTATCTATCTATCTATCTATCTATCTATCTATCTATCTATCTATCTATCTATCTATCTATCTATCTCTACATTGTCTGAAACATACTTCATATGTATAACTAACACTGTTCAAGTCCAGACGATTATTCTAATTGAAGCACAAGTAGAATAAGATTATCGGTAGACGATATATAACATTTCATCATTATGAACTGTTCATTTTGATTATGTTTAAAAAAATACCAGTATTCAGTTAAGTATGTATGCAAAAGTATATGTTAGTATTTATATGTAATTTTAAAATCGATCAAGGTTAGTTTGAATGTGTTCATTATAATTATTTTATTATAAATGATAATTTTTGGACCGGATTTATATTCGATTTTTCTAAATTCTCTTTCCACTTATGTTGGAAAAGAGATCAAAGCAGGAAAAATTTCTAATCCGGTAAGTATTCTTTGATTTGCATATTTCTAAAAATTGTTTGCCAAAATGAACAATTTATGAAATTCTAAAAGGTAATACCAGAAGTTCTAGTGAGTAACTGTGAAAAGTGGAATTCAATCATGTCTACAGGTGTGAGACAGTTACGCAACAATAGTGATGAACGTTGGGTGTTTAGTAGAATAAACTGGTCGGAGTCGGAAATGTAATTCACTGATTTGAAAGTAAGGCGCTTGTTATGAAGTCTGAAGGTCCTGAGTTCGACCTCATGTGAGTCAGTCAGTCAGTCAGCTACAACGTAGGACCAGGCACATATGTGCATCGGTCCAGGTTGCCATACCTCATTAGCACAACAAGATGAACACCGGATTCATAGGAGTGGTTAGGTCAAAGGTTGCAATAAGGATATAGTATAGGAAGGAAGAATTAGTTCGTAGAAAGAAAGATACGAAGTGATTTAATCTCTTAGTTTAAGGGAAGACAGGGAGTGTATACACCGACGCCATTGTGATCGATTCTGAGCCATGTCACCAAGAGTCTCCAACCATTGGTTACGATAGTCACGCGGATCCCAACCAAGTAGTCTGCATCTACCAACATGGCTAAGACTAGAAGTTAGTGACTTCAAGCACTGATGCCACGTTTTGGTTTGGCCGCCCCTAACTTTCTTCCAACCAACCCCTACACCGGTTAGCATTGCACGTCGTGGTAATCGGTGTTCAGGCATACGTAACACGTGGCCCACGTGACCTCATGTGAGGTGATAGGTGGACCTTGCTGAAGAGTCCTATACTAAGATGAAGCAGTTATTCAGTATTCCCTGATCTTGAATGGTTGTTAGTTTGTAAAGTAATTTATGGCACTCAGCATTCTCTGAAAGCTCTTTACGCTAAGAATAGGAATTTATTACTCAGGTTTATATCAGAAATATCACAATACATAATTATATGACTGCAACAATTTATAAATTTGTTATGCACCTCGGTCACATATTTTTATTACATAATTCTCGAATTATAGGTCTTTGCACAACAACTTAGCTTATTTGCAAAATTTATTTGACAAGTTCTGGTATCTAGGATGGAAACATATATTATTTGTCTGATTAACTTGTTTCCTCTCTTTCTTTCGCTACCTATCTGTTTATTGATTTGAAGTATCATGATTAAAAATTCTAAACATTTGTACTAAAATCCAATTTATTACCCTAGAGAATTGTTTGTTAAAATGGGGGTAAACTATCAGTGCAAAATTATTCAAAAACTATTAGGCAAAATGTATACATGTAAAATTTATTTAATAACTATGAAAGTTAGATTTTTTTGATTGAGATCATGAACTGATGGATGTTGGACAACCAATGAAAACCTGGAGGCACTGGGAAACCGATTCGCTTTATTGATAAGCTTCTCAGCAGGGAGCATCTATGATCTGCTCACGGGATTTCGAACCCAGGGCCTCCAGTTTTGCGCGAGAACGCTTAGACTCTACACCACTGAGATGGCCGGCATCCAGCGGCGTCAATGTCTAGCCACAATCAATTCACGAAAGTGAGCGACCATCTTCCGTTGTACTGAGGTCGAACTCCGAGAATTCCCTCAGAAAGCTAGTCATTAGTGAGTACATGGTAACTGTCGGTGTGTGGTTTTGGAGGTTTGTTAGGTTTGGAGCTTCACAAGTTCACTTAATCTGCGAACGAGAACAAGACTCAGTGACCAAAGACCAGTAATCTAGCTATTGGTGCGTTCCAGCCCCGCTATCTAGAAGGAGAAGTCCAAGCTTGGTATGGAAAATATATTCTGCAAACAGCCAGAAAACGAGCGAGCCCACAAACACAATTTAAAACGTATATATATATATATCGATATTCCATGGCGCTTTTAAACATTTAATCAATAATTTCATCAATCGACTATATGCGTGGGTGGTAAGGAATGCCCACGCATACATCTGCATACAAGCTCCACAAAGATAAAATTAGAAACTATGAGTTTCTGGAATATATCGTCCCCATCAAGGTTATTATGTTTTTGATTCAGGTCATGAACTGATTGAAATTAGACATTAACACTGGCTCAGTGGTCTAGAGGTTAAACGTTCGCACATGAAACTGAATATCCTGGGTTCGAGTCCCGTGGGCGGAATCGTGAATGCGCACCGCTAAGAAGTCTCATAATAGGACGAATCGGCCGTTCAGTGTTTCCAGGTTTTCATTGGTTGTCTAACATCAATCGGTTCATGATGTCAATCAAAAACTTAATAATCTCCACAACCCTATACTGGAAATTAAATTTAACTATCTAGTGTTGACATATAATTTTCAATCATAACAAGATATTTATAAGCTTTATAAGATTTATAAGCTGGATATGTAGTGAACGAGAACAACAGTGGAGACAATCGAATGTAGCTAAATACACAATTACATAGTAACTTAGTAAAACCTAAGAACCATACAGTAAATACTTCATTTGTAAAATATCAATAAATCGTCTCAGACTTCAATGCTTTTTAGTTTCCACACCAATCATTCTCTGTTCTCGTTCTCTTTTCGTAGGTTCACTTTCGATTGATGATACATACTACTTATATCATGTTAACATCCGTAGCACGCATCACAGATATTTTATCTATCAGTGTTACATTCAACTATACCAAAACAAAAAAAATATTTTATATATTTCTTTGAAATTATTTAAAATAATGTTTCACACTTACTCGCTAACTTCTCGAATGATTGGTGCAAATAATATTGGACCAGATGAATATAAATCGGTTAAACAACGCCTATAAGCTGAAAGTACTCCTGCCATACCTTTACAATAACAATTGTTTACATCCCCATTCTATGAAATAAATAAATAAATATTGAAGAAAAAAATAAAAGATTTAGAACATTGTATTACATAATCATATTTGAATATATAAAAGATCTATGCGTGCTCAATTGATCATACAGTGATAAGTTTACTCAATCAAATTGTATATCATTAAATCCATTTACCTTTTTATTCTTAAAAAAAAGAAGAAGGGGTTTGTCATTTATCTAGATATTTATTTATTTAATATTAAATCACGTTTTCAAGTATAAAAAGTAAAAAAAAAGTGATCCAATTATTCAACTTCAATTCATCAATCTATGAACTTAGTTATTAAGAAGTAAGTACTTAACACATTATCATATCAATTGAAATACATTTCATTTATATCTATCAAGTTTTCTACTTAAGTTTATTCTTGATTTAAAATAATCTATATAACTTTAATATATTTTAATAAAGTATTAATATAGTTTATAAGTATTAATCAATAGTTGTGTTCGCGAAATACTCAACATCTATTGGCCGAATGCCATCAGCGACAGTCCACTGTTGGAGAGAACAAACCAGCTTCCAGATGAAAAGAAAATTAGGAAAGGACGATGGAAATGGATAGCATACATATTACGGAAATCATCAATCTGTATCACGAGACAAGCCCTAACTTGGAATCCTGAAGGAAAGTGGAAAAGTGGAAGGTCAAAGAACACATTACATCGGGAAATGGAATCAGATATGAAAAGGATGAATAACTACTGGAAAGAGCTGGAAACGATTGCTTGGGACAGGGTTGAATGGAGAATGCTAGTGGGCTTTGACCGAAATAATGTACCGTCTTTTATTTCTTACGTACCATTTGGTCTAGGGCTAGCTCATGTATATTGTGAGCTACTTATATCCACATAAGTGGAATATAACTATAGTCAGGAATAGAATGTATTTCGGTAGAATATCGAGACGCAAAGAACGGGAACGGAAAGCAATTGGTATGAAAATGCACGAACAGTGAAATCTGAGACAATGGAATGATATTTGCAAAAGGAACAGTGAAGTTTGAAACAATTGATTGATATTTTGCAAATTAACTATTTACTGTATGGTTGTCAGATTTCAGTGAGATGTTCTGTAATGTTGAGTTCACATACATTCGATTGTTCTTGTTCACTACAATGCAAATTTGGGCATGACTTAGCTAGACTCCTCTAGTCTATCAATTTTGGTTACTTTTATTCGTATATAATGTAATATTTTGCAGAATTTTTTAGCATACTATGTAGTAAATGAGTGAATATTTACCTAAGTAAGTTGTGATAACTGGTCATCTCTGGTTGGGAACAGCTAAGAAACCATTAAAAACAAGAAGTATAGGATTGCTAAGTTGCTAAGTTAAAATTCAGTGATCCACACCACGGGATAATGCTATGTTTACTAGATTCTATCAGTGAGTAACTACATTGTGTCAACTTGATTATGTTCATATTTCACAACTCACTAAAAACGTCAGGAAGTCACTACGGTTGGAGACTAAATTTCAGTCTACATTCATGACTTTAAACAAAATTACGCTCAGAGCTACAGTGGTTGTGACATTGTTTTCCCATCAAGTTGGAATACAATAATTCACGATTTTAAGATACAATGAATTTGTGAAATTGGTTAGGTGCTTTCCACAAAACCGAGGGCCTTGGATTCGATTCTCCGTGAATCGGTGTAGGTACTACTGAGGAGTCCCACACTAGAAAGAAACAGCTTCGTAAGGCTTCTAGGTTTTCAAGTTGTATGAGTAATATCATTCTGTAATATAGATGATGAAAATTTAATGGTCTCCAAAAATCTATGATAAACGTAAATTCATTTGTTTTATAATCTCAAAAAATATGATGATCGTGGAGTCTGGTGTTAAATTTATCCAGGAAAACTATCCTACATTTTAATTCCTTCTAAAAAATATAATAAGTCTAAATAAACAAATAAATGACAATAATAGTCTTAATACGCTAATCGTGAAGAGATTTGTCAATAGTGATTATAAAAGTTGTAATGAGTACTGTCCGTGATTTAGTTTGTAATGACAAGTATGATTTGTGCACATAATTTAGCATGGACGTTTATCGGGAATTGATAAAAAAAACTTCGGTATTTTAAGTGCAATAATGTATGGTGTGCAGCAGTAAGCACCATCGTCACAAAAACAGCAACAAATAATAAAAAGCCACGATGGCAATGAAAAATTGCAACTTTCATTTTCCCAAAGGGTATTCGAAAATAAAATTTGGAAGGAAATTCTATCTCTATCACTATCATCCCTTTTACTTAGAGGTTTTAAAACCGTGGAGATTTGAGACATTTTATTACCCTTAATATATATATACGAATGAGTCGATTGGGAATACTATTATTAATGAACCATGGATCATCATAAATAATCTCTCAACACTTTGTGAGTCTTATAGTTTGGATCAAGGACGGATCTTAGTTAGACAATCAATGAGAATCAGAAATTAAAGAACAGTTGTCTCGTCGTCGTATGGGCTACCCGCTGATGTTCATTCACAACCTCGAGCTCTTAAGCTTGAAATAGGAGTGATGTGTGGTGGTGGAGGTAAAATATGATTGACTATTGAGCGTGGACGAACAGACACAGCCTACAGACTACTAAATATGTGATTTCCTTTCCTCTCACTGATTTCTACTCCGAACTCACTGTATTTGTAATTGTGTCGAATAAAGTATTATCTAGTCTATACTCAGGCTCTCTATTCTGAATCAGAAAACATGAGTAGCCTTATGAACGTATTATCGCAGTATATCTGAAAGGAGAAAATAAATTAAACTATCCGTTATATCGAGGAGTCACTGTGAGAAGCTATAATTAGTGCAGTCCAAATATCTTGAGGCGGTTACCCACCAGTGGCATCGAATGATTGCTGTACAATATTGCAGAATAACTGAAGCCAGAAATGTAAACCATATGATCCCTACCGAGTGGTTTAAAGGTCACTACTTCACCTTTAAACTTGAAGGTTTTAAGCTTGATAGCCGATAAGGTCTTGAATACACGCTGGCGAAAAATCCCAAATTAGAACGAAATAACTGTTCAGTGACTGTTGCTTTTCCCTGTTTGCCTGATTCAGACCATTTTGTGACGTAAACTTTAAAAGTCATTAATATATACTATAATCATACTGATACCATAAGCAACAGCATACTATGGGAGAAAAAAAACAACTTTCAGTTGAGGAGGAAATTAGGAAAAGACGACGGAAGTTGATAGGAAACACATTGGGAAAATCATCAAACTGCATTACGAAACAAATGCTAACTTGGAATCCTGAAGGGAAATCGAAGAGAAGAAGGCCGAATAACACACTACGCCAGTAATTGGAAGCAGACACAAAAGGATATCAAATGGAAACAACTAGAAAGGATCACCGGGGACAGAGTTGGATGAAGAATGCCAGTGAGCGGCCTATACTCCTCCATGAGGGGTAACAGGTGTAAGTAAGTCGGTATAATTCTACTAATTTATATACCATATGTTGCTTATTTACTTGCTTACGCCTGTTACTCCTCGTAAAGGTGCATAAGCCGCTCACCAACACTCTCCATTCAACCCTATCCCCAAGCAATCCTTTCCAGCTCTTTCCAGTTGTTATTCATTCTTTTCATATCTGATTCCATTTCCCAACGTAATATATTCTTTGGCCTTCCACTTTTCCCCTTCTCTTCAGGATTTCAAGTTAGAGCTTGCCTCGTGATGCAGTTTGATGATTTCCGTAATATGTATCCTATCCATTTCCATCGTCTTTTCCTAATTTTCTTTTCACCCGGAAGCTGGTTTGTTCTCTCCATATAATATGTAATTAATTCTAAATGAATTCTAACAATCTTAGAAACTGTTAATTTCAATTATAAATTTTAGTGTTCATGAATTATTCAACATTAACTATCACTACATTGTTCATACTTGTTTGTACTAAATATGAAGTCATTGTGATTAATTAACTTATTATTTTTAACAAAATAATATGATTGAAGGATTAAAAAATTTGTGTATAAAACTCACTAATGGATATCTATGAGATAATTTACCACCTGATGAAACCTTTGCACCGAATCCAAAAGCAGGAAATAGTTGATCACTTTTGATATAGTTTTTTTTGCAAAAGAAAACAAAGCATTTATCAGAAAATGTAACGTAAACATTATATATATATATATATGTATATTCAGAGGGGGGTTTTGTGTAGAATGTAGTAATTTAATAGTTGAATTCATGGGTCAATTGAAGCTAGACCACCATGAAAAATCTAGAAGCACTGGGCAGGATCGTGGATGAGCACTGCTGAGCAGTCCCATACGAGGATGAAGTGGCTCTCCAGTGCTTCCAGGTTTTCCATGGTGGTCTATCTTTAGTTGGCTGATGTATTTAACTATTATATATATGGATCTTTTCAACCTAATTCTTAACATGAATATTGGAATGTCTTGATCGATTGGAGTACTACTGTACTGTAAAATTCAATTCTTCTTCAATGATCTACGATATTTAATCTAATTTTTACAAGTAAACAAATAACTTAATAAATTACTCGTAATTGTCAGTTGTTGAAGTTTATGGTAGATTTTGATCATTGATTCATTCATGTCACATGTTGTCTTCGTTTGATTTCATCATTATTAGTGCATTTAAACACTATTATCATTATTCTATTTTTAGTGTGCAATAAATCTTCACCAGTTGGTATTACCATCTTTTATGTGTTTTACGAACCACATTTACTGGTACCAAGTAACAATTCTTTAGCTGATTATTTAGAGCATTTATATATTTTATTTCGATAGGTGTATATATTTTTTCAGGGATGAGTACACGAAGTCTTCTTATTCAACGGAAAAAGAAGAAATCTAAATCTCAGTAATCTAACAAATATTATTAGTATAAATGAATTCTCATTGAAAAAGCATATTTTCATTGTGGTTAAATTTGAAATGAAACCATTCAAGGATTACAGTTTTATCTACATTTATAAAGTATTTTATTAAGTGACTATTTAATTTTTATCATATTGACTATGTAAATTATGATGGAGTTTTATTCTCTGAGTTGGAAGGTTTGGTCAAGGAGATTTCATCGTCCATTTGAATGAAATCATCAACACAAACTTCTACTATGTATATTAGCTTGAAATTACACAAGATTCATTTGAAAGTATTATGATTTTTTAGTTACAACTTATCAATAACTACTTAATACAATGATGTTTTTAACCCTTGTCGTAGTTATTTTTCTTGTATAAGTGATATATTTTAAGTTATTAATGGATGATTTTAAGTTTACATGATATTACAATTTAGTTAACGGAGTCTCGCTCGCGAAACTGATAAGTTCCGGGTTCGAATCCTGTGAGGCGGGATCGTGGATGAGCAGTGCTGAGAAGTCTCATACTAGGATGAAACGACTGTCCAGTGCTTCCAGGTTTCCCATGGTGGTTTAGACTCAATTGACTCATTATTTCAACTATTAAAATTTCTAAAATTTCCAAAAAACCCCTTCTGATAATAATTCATTGTCTTTGTGACTACATTATTATAGATTCTAGTTAACTTTTATTTTGTTTAGTATTGAATTTATTCTCTTCCACTAAGAATTAATAGATGACTTTCTAGAAGTAAATAATGCTGAAGTTCATCCAAACACGAAACTATTGATGTAGGTTCTTGATATCATTTAAGGTATTTATTGAAAACTATATTTTATACTAACTGTATTTTAAAACGAATCGATCAAAATTTAAGAGTATTGCATTGTTCATCATTAATGTTCTTTAATAAAGGTTTTCAGGAAATTCTACTAAGAATTTACTCCTAGAGAGTTACATTCTACAAGAACTAAGTCCTCTGAAAGTATATGACAAGCAATAGCATAATAGTTGTGAATGAAGCTATCAGTACTGTACCGAATAATAGTGTACTAATTCTTGGCTTACATGTTTCTGTTTAATCCGGGATAGTGAAATAAGACATCTTTTTACTAAATAAGTTTAGAAGAGGAAAGAAACTAGGTAGCAGAATTTAAATTATTTGTCGATTGATAAAAATGTCTAGCAAATAAACTATCTTTAACATTGTAAAACCATGCTTCAATTCCAGTTTATTTTATAACACAATAAATAAGACAAAAATGGAATACAATAATAATAGTTTTTCTTGAATAATCTTACCTGTCATATTCTTGAAGTATTTCCATTACAGCTTGTATAGCAACTTCATATTCTGTATGAGATTGAGATAATTCTATTTGTTGACTGGGTGTATTTGTTATTGAATTCATTGAAGCATGAGTTGACATATCGACAGCCACAACTACATTTATACTAAGACTGGAGAAACAAAATAATAATGAACAGGAAAGTGATAAAGTAATAACAACCAAGTAAATAAAAGACAGAGAGAGGAAGAGAGAGAGAGCAATGTGCAAAGTAGTTAGTATGTATATATGGAAATTCAATTCCGTTTAACATAATATACATCGATGAAATGTCACATTTTTCTTTAGCGATTATGCATTTTGAAGATTTGAGTAGAATAACACAAATTCATCTTATTTTGATGGGATTATTTTTAATTCTTTCAAATTTATAATTGTACCTTTAACTAATTGATCTCACTCAATTCGTATTATACTAAATGAGCATAAATCTAACTGTATCATTATGTGATCAAGTAATTTTCTAGCTTCCTAGTCTTTAGTCAGTATTCTGTCGTTCTACGATCTTCTCTCGTACATTGTATTTATTGGGAAGAATTAAAAAAAAAACACATTCTTGCTCACAGTGTATGAATCATTGCTTCATTATGATGAACTAAACTCATTTCTAACTACACTTATATAAATATATTGACTTATGTGTATGATTTCAAAAATTATAAAATGTAAGCAGATGGTAAGAACCTAATGAAATCAAATGAATTCATGTTATTCTGGCCGAATGTTTATTCTTGCTCACTTCAAGATAACAACGGAAACTATGTGTGTTATGTCTATATGGGATAAAAATGATTTGATTTTTAATTTTAATCGAGAACTGGAACATTTCAAAACAAATCCAGCTAAATGTTATTAATTTCATGCAATTGGTTCCCTTTATGAATTTAAATAAAGCAAGAACAAATATTGGTGCAGAACACTATGAATTCATATTATTTCGAGGTTTCACGTCAGCTGCTTACAAACCAAAAATGTAATAGAATTTTTACATTGAGATAGAGTGAAAACAATTGACATAGATGAGTGTAAATAACTGGTTACAATAACAACTATATATTTTTGATTGAGATCATGAACCGATTGATGTTAGACCACCACCTTTGGAAACCTGGAAGCACTGAACGGCCGTTTCGTCTTTTTGTGCTTACTAGTGACTAGCTTCGTGAGGGAATTCTCGGAGTTCTAGTGAGAAGCCGTGATCAGTGGAGCTAACCCATGTCGGGTAGAGACAGGTATCTACCTCAGTACAATGGAAGTTGGTCACGCGATTTCGTGGATTGGTTGATGTTAGAAACTATCACCATTGGATGCCGGCTCAGTGGTCCAGTTGGTTAAGCGTTCGCGCACGAAAAAGAAGGCCCTGGGTTTGAATCCCGCGAGCGGGATCGTGGATGCGCACTGCTGAGGAGTCCCACAATAGGACGAAACTGCCGTCCAGTGCTTCCAGGTTTTCAATTGTGGTGGTCTAACATCAATCGGTCCATGATCTCAATCAAAAACGTAATAATCTTCGCAACCCCCATACTAGTAATAACTATATATATATATATATATATGCTAGAAGAGGTCAGAGGTCAAAAGGAATTAATTCGGGTTGGGTGGTGTAATAATGGAATTGAATAATTATAAGATAGGTTACGCAATAATAATGAAATAGAATTTGAAAAGTTAAGATAATTTAAGAGGCTCAGGTGGTGGAAATGTGTGAATAATAATGTGGTTTAAGAATTATGTAATAGGGGAGGAGTATAAATAGTTTAAAATAAATGAAAAAAAGGGTTACCAGGGTAGTGATAAGTCTATTAAAGTCTCTTTTTGAATGCATAAGTCCGGTTTAAGTTTTTGATCATAATGGCTTCAGCAAAACGAAGGGTGGTCGTACTTCTTCGTCTATTGATAATTTTGAAAGCATGTGGAATGTCGATGGTGTGTCCGGTGTCAAGTAGATGTCGAGCTATTACCACTTATTACCAGTGCAAAAACAACAAATAATGATTTGTTAAAGTATAATGGACGAAATTTTCAGTAGAATTTGCAAACAATTGAATCGAATCAAGTCACTGTTCAAAATTATAATATACTCTGGGATAGGGTCTATCCCTGGAAAAAAGATTCTGAAATGTTTCAAAATCGTAAGCATTTATCAGTGGTAAACAGTGTTTTGAAAATCTTTATTTTTTATTTCTTGTTTACTACTAATGAATGTTGGTAGTTATTTTCAATGTTTCCGAATTTCTCTGTGTTCATCGATCGTATCATTCACTGAACAGCGAAGGAAGGACTTTTCGAGGTCATCACAGTTTTCAACTTAGAATGATATACTCATTTAGTTATTAATCTGACTATAAACTTTTTATTCCATGTAAATACTTTAAGGTATAGAAATATAGGTATGAGGTTGTGGAGACTGCTAAGTTTTAATTGAGATGATGAATCGATCAATGTTAGACTACCACTGAAAACCTGGAAGCACTGGATAGTTGTTTTGTCCTAGTATGGGACGCCTCAGTAGTACATATCTATGATCCCGCTCGCGAGATCCAAACCCAGGACCTTCGGTTCCGTGTGCGAACACTCAAATCCCAGACTACTGAGCCGACATTCTACGGTATTAATGTCTAATTTCAACTAATCCATGATCATCATCCATTGTCTGATGTAGATACCTGTATCTACCTGACACAGATTAATTCCAATGGTCAAGGATAAGATTTTCTATGTTATTACCTTTAATTGATTCATTTAAAACTTTTAAAAAATGTTATTAATCATTGTCATCAATTTTTGTGTATGTTCCGAAAGTTTACAAAAAAGTAACATACAAAGTTAGGTAGAATCCCAATGGATTTAATTAGCTTAAAATGTTTCCTTTTTAACACCGATCTACCTTAATTGTTTAAGTTAAATAAAACCAGATTAGGACATCCATTCTACCCCTTAGGCGATATATACTCAAAGCATTCAAATTAATATACTCGTACACTTACAAATACACATTCACACAAATTCTTTAAACATTTCTTATATTTTTACTTGACATAATTTTGTTAATTATTTAAGTAGTAGAACTGATCGAAATGAAAAAAGGGTGGTTTAGTACAAATTCAGTTATTGTAATCCAGTGAGAAAATGTTGAGGATATTTTAAAATAAAGTTTGCTTGCTTTAGTTATTTCTAGCCTGACCATCTTAAAATTTATTTTTAAAAAAAATATGTAATTGAATAACAGTATCGTAAAGATAATACCGATTGAATGTTATTTAAAAGGAAGCTTTTCACATTCTTACATGAATATCACAATCAATACATCAGTCTCTTTCATCCAGTACATTACGGTTTCCGATTAGGTTGCATTTGTAAGGATTTGTATTTTTAGTCAGTTACTAATGGCATATACTTATCATGCACAGATTGAATACATATTATCATTCAGTTACAAGCATTTGGTAAAGCTGAAAAGTGGCTAGAAATGAAATCTTGGATGAGAGTTTTGCCTTATTTTGTCACAGGTCAACTGAATGCATCTACGTAGTAGTGATGATATTCATATTGAGATTTGAACCTAGTCCTTTTCACTTAACTGTGAACATTAACAATGGGATATAGATAGGTGTATGTGTTGAATCCTCAACAGGTTAAAACATTCTTTCTAGATTTTATACTTAGCCATTATTTAATATAAGTAAAAATCCATTAAAGAATATGATAGAAATATCAACTAGCTCATTGATTATCATCTGTAAGAAATAAACAACAACATTTTTTGTTGACCGTACACATATCAACTGAAATAAATAATAAATAAGAATATGGACAAATAATGAATATTGATTAATGTGATTTATTAGAATAATCCTCTCAGATAAGTTTAGTAAATCTTATTTGAGTGACATAGTGACAAAACGATAGGTTGATTACATTATAAACTAATATACATACACATCTAGAAATTGATAATAATAATAATAATAATAATAATAATAATAATAATAATAATAATAATGCCTTTTAGATAAGAATCAGGATGATGATGATGATGATGATAATGATGATAATGCATATATATACCGATGAAAACAGGAAATAACCAGATACATAGAATATGACATTCATATGATGAGGTCATCTAATTATAATGAATATACTGACTAAAAGATTAAGTAAGCAAGAGATATATCAATATACATATGAACAGAAATGAAGAAAAAAATAACCATGAAATATAACCTATGTTATCAGTTTAATGTGTCATCATATTGGGAAAGATTAAGATAATTTGTGAAAATAAAGTGTATATGTATATGGGAAATAAATGAGAAAAAAATGTATCAGAAGGGGTTTTGTGGAGATTTTAGAAATTTCAATAGTTGAAATCATGAGTCAATTGAAGCTAGACCACCATGGAAAACCTGGAAGTACTGGATGGCCGTTTCGTCCTGTTGTGGAACTCCTCATCAGCGCGTATCCACGACTCCACCTTGCGGGATTCGAACACAGGACTTACTGGTCTCGCGCACGAGCACTTAACCACTAGACCACTGAGATGGCTGGCATCCAACGGTGTTAATGTCTAACTTCAATTAATCCACGAAATTGGGCGACACATCCACCATTGACATCAGTGAGTCCCTATCTCAAAACTGACCCGGTTGAACTCCACTGGTCACTGCTTCTCACTAGAACTCCAGGATATACCTGTTGAAGCCAGTCACTAGTGAGCATATGTTGATTAAATGTTACAAATGACATGGAAAAGTTGTTAGGTTACAATTAAATTCACCATTTAGTTAATCAGAATTTATATGAAGATATTATTCGATACTATTTGATTAAAAGTTTACAGATTACTCATTGATTCAGTTTCATTGTGTTCACTAATCATGAACGGAATAATTCAATGGTAACATTTCTGATTATAAAATGTTAATGTGAGTTGGAAACATTAGTTACTCTATGATTTCAGATATGTTTTCTTAACAAATATCAATTGACAAAAAATTCTTGATTAAAAACAGGATTCTTACAGATTATCTTCAACTGATATGGAAACATAGTGCTCTGGGATGTTATGTAATTGTGATTATTAATCACATTAGATCAGGATAGCACAATACTGACTCTTGCTCAGAGATCAATCAGTCAATCGATCAAATAATACATGAGATGAAGATTAAATGTCATTTATTCAAGGAGAAATTGTAGGACCACAACAATAGATTTTCACTTTTAGCCAATATTTACCACCAATCGATTTTTATAAAATTTATCATGATGAAAACGTCTCATCAATATCATATAATGTTTAGTGAGTCTTATTATGCAATACAACTGTTGTTATTTGGAATTCATATAGTGTCGAGCCATGATCGGAAAACTTAATAACGATTATCAGTAAGGATAACTAATGATATATAAATGAAGACGAAACAACTGTTAAATGCTTAGTGGCTCTTAAAGATTCTTCAGTCAGGATCAGTTCACCATTAAAAATAAATTATATCAAAGACTCTTGATCTTAATTGACTGGCTTAATTTAATAGTGATAACAAGAAACTTTCATGGAATTTTAGTGGCTCTTTATCTGACAACAGTAATATTGTATGAACGACTGTTATTGAAATATATATATCGCCTATCGTCGTAGATAATTATCGACTTAACTCTCGTTAGTGTGTAGTGACCTACTTTTATCAAGAGAACGCGATTGGTGTAATGAAAACAATTATTATTATAACCAATTGTACTAGGGATTGTTTTACCGTACTTGTTTTTTTAATTGTACCAAAACACATACATTCTTCCGTTGATTGTGACCTTGCACGAATTCGGTTACGCTCAGTAACCACACTTGTAACCTGGCACGACCTCGGTATTCTTTCGATACCACAAGATCGTCAACAAATACATTTCGACTACAGCCATCAACTGCTTTCTGATATTTGGCTTACAGGAGATCTTATCAGTTAAATGGCATGTGGTCTTCCTGTAGTGTTGATCATAGTCAACTGCGAATCAACGCCACACTACAAGTGAACAACGGAATTAAATAAACCAAATACGAGAATGAAGTTTTATTTCGTACAATCGTTGATCTGCACGGACCATCAGGGTACGGAGTGCAGGAAGTCAATAGGAGAGAGAGTGTAGCGAACTAAATGACGCTCAGTGGAGTAAATGAGTGAGCCAACTCAATTCAATCAATCATTAATCGATATTTATAGTTCAATACAAATAAGTTACAGACATGTGATGAATACCATTTTTAAAAAATGCACACACATACGTTTACATAAAAACAATCAACGGTAATAAGCGAATAATTAACATGGTCAAAATGTGACTCAAGAAAGATGAATAAATTGACCTGTCCAGAAGCTAGAATAAGTTATATGGGCTTAACATAGTAACTAACACTACAGATTAATTTGTAGGTAATATTTTTAGATAATAACATAATTTACAGGGCAAATGTTACTGAAATATACACTGATGATAATAGTTTATAAAAATTAAAAGTGCAATACATTCGTATAGTTTTTTAAAAAAATTGATTCTATTACACATTGAATTCTTAGACAGACAGGATTTGCGTGCCTCTAGGTAACCCTTGTGCTATTGATAGAAGAAACCAGACAAGTAGTGTATGAGTCTTTATTTAGATCTTCGCACATTCACAGTGGAGCGTGTGGTTATTTGTTCAGACAAACAAAGGCTCTCAACATTCAGTATAAGAAATTGGAAAGATAACGCCTATACAAAATAAGGAAGTGAATGAACACTTGAACTATACTGTTTTGGCATATGCTTAGTTGTTTGAGGTCAACTCTTAACCAACCGACCTAAGCTGTTACAGAATTACAAGAAAAAAGTTGTCACACATTGATATATTCTGATTTAAAAAGAAACAGTTTACTTACCCACCAAATATATAATCAAGAAATGAAAATTTCGATTGAGCAAAATATAATTTTACAGTAAGCTAAACAAAAAAAAGAGAAAAAAAAGAGAAAGGAAAATAAAACGATAAACAAAATCTTTTTTGACAATAATGATAGCTTTCATGAGAAGATTAATGAATTTTTTCAATAATGTTACCTGATTTTTCATTGATATTAGTCAGTGACAAAATACAGTCTCAATACATCTATATACATACGATGATAAAAACTTATAACATACAAGTGGATGTCTTTAATGTTATTAAATTTCCTTAGCTAGATATTTTATTATCTATGAAGCTTTTATTGTTGTTCTGGACAATATCATCACAGTTTACTTCATGTAAAAGTTAGGATTTTAGTTATTTCACAACCATTAAAAAACAGTTTTATTCTTATGGTTATATTGATTATTGATTATTTTTGTAGATTGCTTTAAACTAGGATACTTAACTCTACATGAAATAAACACATAATGTTGTTCAAACGATATCAAAAGCTACGCAATTCATTCACATAGCTCATAAAACACAACAACTATATATATATGAAGAGAATAGTTAAATAAAACAATGAAATCCTCATGGTAGAGAATTCACGATGTCATTATTTCCAATATATAAATTTCGTTTTACATTTTAAGAGACCAACAACAGTTTGCCTGTAGATTTGATAATATTTATATTAGAGTAATCTATTTGTTTAATATCAGATGGGTTTTGTGGATATTAAAGTAATTTCAATGGTTAAGATCATGGGTCAGTTGAAGCTAGACCACCATGGAAAACCTGGAAGCACTGGACGGCCGTTTCGTCCTATTGTGGGATTCCTCATCAGTGCGCATCCACGACCTCGCCCCCTGCGAGATTCGAACCCACGACCTACTGATTTCGCGCGTGAGCACTTAACCACTAAACCCTTGAGTCCCGTAATAGGACAAAATGGCCGTCCAGTACTTCCAGGTTTTCCATGGTGGTCTATCTTCAACTGACTCATGATCTTAACCATTGAAATAATCTATTTGTATTTACTATGAAATAAGGTAAGAAAAAAAACTAATTCCAAAGGCGTTATTCCTATAATCGTATAAAGATGATTATCACAATGAAATGAATGATGCGGTTATCACCTTTAATTTAAACTTTATTCAAATAAATAATACAATCATATTGTTTTTAGTTGTTAAGGTCAATGAAAAGTGTCACTGGTAGATAGAAAGAAATAGAGAAAGTGTAAACGTTATTTATGTAAAAGTGAAATATAAAACAATTACAATGTATATGATTTTTTTATATTTTAATAAGTAACAATGTAATTTTTACTATTACGATTGTAATCAAAAGTGATAATTGAGTTTATTTTTCAAATTTTTTTAAATTTATCTTATCTCATTTTATTTTGGGTGGATTTTTGTTTGTTTGTTTGTTTGTATGATTGAACTAATTAAACGAATGAACAAAGAAGGGAGGGTTTTTTGTTGCTTTTTAAGAAACAAACAAAAAAAAGAGAGATCAAAATGACCTTAAAATTCCCTTTTTTTTCTTATAGAAAAATCTTTTTTTTCGATTTTTTCCGTCATAAAAAGAAAAAAGAGAATTTCCCCTTTTTTTTATTATTTTTTAATTGTTATTATTATGATGAAAAAAACATTGTTAACTTAAAATTTTTCTTATCTATTCCATAGGGAGTTTTATAAAGAAATGAAAATATATAGACATTTGAAAGTGTTGTATGCTCAGAAGGAAGCAAACATATATATATATATATATATATATATATATATATATATAGTACTGAGTAATGAATGATGTATCAAGTAATGGTTCATTTAATTCTCAGGTCATTTACTGTATAGTTTAATTTACAGGCGATACTTATTTAATTTTAATCCATGGAAATCTTTATCGGAACATTATGTAATATAATGTATATCAAGAAGAAATAAATAGAATATATAGGTTATGTCTAGAGCTGGAATTTAGAACGAATGTTTTTTTTCATATGTTGAGATTTGACAATATAGATCCACTTATATCCTAATGTTAATATTCACACTTAGGATTTGAACACAGTAACTTTCGCTTCAAATAGCAATTGTTTATCTATTGAATCACTAGGTACTGATAATCGATGTCTTCTTCAATACGTATGATCTTTGTATAATTATTAGTAAGTATTTGAATTATCTCGTTGTTAGTTTTCAGCTTCAAATTTTAATCCATACTTTCTGATGTGTTTGGATCTTATGAAGATTACCTCGAAATAACTACAAACCCTGATATGTAAGTCCGTCCAGCTTTTTAAAAAAAATGTCATAGAATAGCTATTTTGAGGTATTTCAAGCAGGATACATATATGTCAACAAAATATGATTAAAATTCAGTCCTGAATCTTAGCAATCGGATAATCCAAGCTCTTATTTATTAATAATACAAAACAAGCTTATTTTCATTAGATTACAAATTGGTTGGAAAAGGTTACATAATTGTGCAACGGTTTAATTTGCTTTGAAATCAAGGCTTAACGTATGAGTAAAATGGAAATTTGAAGACAACGCTTAATCACTCACATAACAAAGGACTTTTCAAGGTAACACAAAATTATTTATCAAGTAGATATATCTTAAGATGGTGTAGAAAGTCTGTACGTGAGCAAGAGGAGAACTGGGATATTATGAGCTTGGCAGTTTATTTGTGAAGTTTTTACTATCTTTACGGATGCCATCAAACTTAAAAACTTTAAAGAGAGTGACGCCACTAATAGTTTCAATGCTGAAGAATAACTGTACCCAAGATTTCAAATGGAAAAATATTGAAACATCAGACAAGGACTACACAAAATGACAATCATACAGTTTTCCGTAGTTTGGGTAATAGTTTATTCAGTAATCAATAAATATACTGAGAACTATCAAATCCATCAATGAATGAGCCATAACAACGTATAATAATTAGGATAAGGAACAAAATTAAAATAAAGGAGTAGACATTATCAGTTTAATTCTTGTCAATGATCGATTCATTCCTATGTTTGGAGAACAAACTTTAGGTTACTTGTGAGGTTTTTCTTGTAATAATAATAATCACGATATGAATATTGCTATTTCTTAGTAAGTTTTAAGCCGATGACATCTATAAATACAATAAACGCATAATAATTAACTGACTAGGTCCATAGAACAAAACACTAACGAAACTAAGGTCTAAAGTGTTTAAGCCTATATAATAATCTTTGTTGATTATATTTCTGTTCAAATGCTTTTTATAGATGATATAGAAATGCTTACCAAGTATGAAATCTGATCGATAACAATAAGTTTTATTCAATATAGGATTGTGGAGATTGTTGAGTTTTGATTGAGATCATAACTCGATCAATGTTCATGATCTCAATCAAAATTCAACAATCTCCACAATCTTTTGTTCATAATAATCAAGTGCTTACTAGTGACTAGCTTCGAGAGGTCATTCTCGGAGTTCTAGTTAGAAGCTTTGACTATTGCAGATCAACCGTGTCTGTGGTGAGGTAGTTACCTACCGAAGACAGTGGAAGATGGTCGCACGATATCGTGGATTGGTTGAAGTTAGACATTAACACCGTTGTGTGTCGGCTCAGTGGTCTGGGAGTTAAGTGTTCGCACACGGAACCGAAGGTCCTGGGTTTGGATCTCGCGGGCGAGATCATAGATGTGTACTACTGAGGCGTCCCATACTAGGACAAAACCACTATCCAGTGCTTCCAGGCTTTCAGTATTGGTCTGACATTGGTTGGTTCATGATCACGATCGAAATAAGTTCTAATGATATTTATAAAGACGTTAATTTCTAGATTCATTAAATTTGATTAAAATTGAAAAATTCATTGTTTAATGATTTGTTGAAGAGTTGTTTTAGAAATATGGAAATTGATGCATTCTATCAATTTTTATAGATAACTGTCTATATGAACGTTTATCAATGAGGGAGTTCACTTGTGTTTTCAATGGCGTTCTGAACGATATTATCAGTGTTTATTTTACACGAACGTTTGTTATGTTCAAGGTTACCTAGTTAATTCGAAATACCTATTTAATCTAATATAATTGTTCGGATAGCTAAAACGTCAATCAGAGTATGCTTTTAAATATGATTGACGTAAGGACAGACTAAAAATGGTTATCGTTTCAATTTTTCATGTTTCGCATTAGCACAATGCAAAGAAATTAAGGAATTAATTTAGCAATAATAATGGTATGTTTGTGAAAAACTGAAACATACGAAAAGATGAATTAAAACTAATGATTAGATTATCGGGACTACTGTCACCAATTTTAAGACATACTATCACAAAATCTTATACCGTTGCTTACTGTTATCTCTAAGGTTCCGGTTGGAATCTGGAATTCTGGACACAGTTCAAATCACCAGTCGATTATCTTATGGACTGATATCATATCATAGCTTACGTTATACCATAAAGAACACAAGTTCCAGTCATCACAACATATGGACAACTTTGTCTTAACATGTACGTTTTACATTAACTGTATTCATTGCTTAGTGGTTCATTTAACGTATGATAACCTTGGTAACTATTTAATTCATTTGTAGTACAATACAGGGGGAACTAGTGAATAACATAGTTGGTCTTGGAATAGCAGATGGATATATCATCAGTTTCAGAAGTGGCGTAAATTTGCAAAAGTCATATGATTGTTCTTCTGTCATCATCGAAATTTCTCAAACCGCTAATTTATTAGTACTAATGAGACACCTAACACGTATAAAAAGGTTGACATAACCATTATCTTTGCGCCCTAATATAAACAACAAATCAGTATATAAGGGATTTATAAAGACTGTCACAGACTGATCTTATCTAGACCTTCATTAAATACCTAGAAGCATTGGACAGATGTTTCATTCGAGTAAGAAGCCGAGACCACTGGAGTTCATGCATGTCGAGTAAGAAACAGTTATTCACAATAGTCAATGGATGAGTGTTGGACAGTATCGTAAATTGACCTAATTTGAACATGTACACCAGTAGTCTAGGAGTCCGGCGTTCAGGCGTGGAACCAAACGTATGGAGTTCGATTTTCTAATGCAATGTTATGGGTTGACAACTCTGAGGAGTCTCATACTAAAACGAAACGGTCGTTCGGTGGTTAGAGCTTTTCAGTCACGGTTTAACTAATATCAATTTATGATTCAAACTATGGAAAACTAAGTATCGTTAAGTACCAGTCATGTATTCTCATGTCTCAGTATGTTTATTCCATAGATGATTGAAACTTTCTGACACAACAAAAGCAACTTTTAACTAATAATTTACTCTTTTTCTCTCAACATTTTAAATGTAAAATAAAGCTAAATGTTAACATTTAATTTTCAATAGAATAACTGCTGAGTCTTGTTCGTTTTTTATTTAAGAAAAAATGAAACTTTGCACTACATGCCATAAAATCAACCAACCTAATATTAACACAATTATTGTATGTATCCATGTAGTGTGCATGTGTGTGTGTATGTAGTAATACAAATATTGTATAAACTTACTAGACCAGAATTCTGATAGCATTTTTTCCGTTTTTTCTTCGGCATATTAATCAACTGTTTAGTGGGAAAAAAAAATCAGAGAGAATGGAACATTGAATAATTTCAAAAAATGAACATATGTAATCATGGGATAAAATAATTTTTATCTAAAAATAAAATCAATTTTAAGGATACTTATTTAACAAGTAAATACATGTTGATTGTGAGGTCTTATTTATCAGATAATTTGTTCAGAATCTATTAATTTAGATATTTATAGTAATACTCATATTAATGAACTATTTTTGAAGGAATCTGTTTAGATTGAAGGTAGTTATCTTTATTTATTTATCAAGAAATGATATACGCGCTGAAGAATTATTGAAAATCGAATATTATATGACAGTTCATTTTCCTTCAAGTATGAGAGTGTTGAACAGTAAGTACTTAGAATTCGGTTCATGTCATTTTATGTTATTACCATCTTCAAACTGTTTAAAATAGCTGAATGGATAACGCGATGGCGTTTGAAGTGAATGGTACTGGGTTTGAGTTCCAGAGTGAACATCAACTCTGAGATGCAGATACATCCAGCTGACGAATCTCAAATAGGACGAAACACGCGTCCTGGATTCCACTGCTAGCCACTACCTATCGTTGCTTACAAAAAGCTTGTGAATTAAGGTAATATTGAGGCATACGCACAGTATGCACATATGCCAATAAGAGACTGATCAACTGAAGTCTTAAACCTCAATGGGAAGATATAAGCTAAACAATACCAAGTGAATGTTCAAAATATCTTTGTAAAAGTACTTATTAAAATATTATTTATATGTTTATTATTGAATAGCTTTGATAAAGATTTATTAAGATTCTAATTGAACTCTGTGAATAATGAAGTTTCACTAATTCTAGATGTCATTATTACTTTATACATAACATTTGTTATGGATCATGATTCATTTCATGGTGAGAATATGAATCATTGAATTTCAACTAAACATTATACAAATGTAGCACATATAACATAGTTTAAATATTTGATCATCAGTTCATACTGATAAATAGTTTTAAACAAATAGATATATACTACTGAGAAATCCCATATTAGGAAGAAACGGCTATTTTGTGCTTCAAGGTTTTCCATGATGATCTACCTTTACTTAACTCATGAATTTAACTATTAAAATGAATAAATATTTGATATTTTCAACACTGTAATCCATTTCATCATGATAATTCTCTTTAAACAATTATTTAATGTTTCTCAATTAAATGACAGTTAACCTGAAGTCATTCATATTTTAATCTGTACATATATCTTGTTATGAATGAAATACAGGAAATAATTTAAAATTTGTGGAGAAATCTATCAGTTTCCATAGAGTTACTAGTTATTGTTACTATGTCAATACTAAATATAAATATTATTTAGTCATTATATATATATATATATATATCTTACTATATTAAATATAGTTTATTATTACATTATATAGTCAGTGAACTACTTTTTTTGATTAAAATACATTGTAGACTAATAACTTTAAATATTGATTTACTTATGAACTGGTGAACTGATGAAATTATTGGGAGTTAATTAAAGATGAATAAAAACAACAGTAATTATAACTTATTACCTATGGCTTTTGGCAACTGGTTTAAAATTTCATATGGTATATTGAAGAAAAAAGAAGACGAGTGATTGTGTTATATCCGGAGGGGAATAAATGGGTGATAACAGTTAGGAATTACTTATGGACGAATATTATACGAATATTCTGATTGTATGACTACTAAATAACTATATTATATGTATATTCATTTCCCTTTGATTATAATCTGCTGTTTGACTTATTGGCTATTATCATACGATTTACTATTTATGAGATATTCCCAATTTAATAGTAACAGTTCTCACAATCACAGCCACTTTTGTCTAGATCTTGGATAAATGTTATTTCCTATTTTATGGTATGATGTGGTCTGATTTTGCTTGTATATAAATCCAGTATGTTTGGAATATACGCGGAGGCTGAAATTGGCGTTCTGAACTTGACGGGCAGGTTCAGACAGAAAAAGGATCAATCGAAACTGTAGTCTACTCGTACTGGTGTATGCGTCATTAGTTGGGTCGTATAAGTCAGCATATCTAAATTGGCAATCGTATTTTGCGACAATCGTATAGCTAAGGACATACAAGGTTGAATAAACAATCTTTTTTTAACGACTTCGATTTTTTCGCATTATATTTGTTGACCCATAAATGTTACATCATAAAATGCAAATGTGAAAATTAGATATAAACGTTTTGATTGAAATGGTCATTAGGAGAGGAGAAAGATTTTACATTGATCAAAATTTAACTAACCAATACCATTTCAAATGATGATTAGAAAAGTGGACGTTTTAGTTTTAAGATGATAATTTACAGCTGTAATAATACGACGACGTGAATATTACACAAAATGTAGGATATATATCCATGATATTGCTATAACAGTACTAATCAGATAATATGAATTGAAAAAGTTAAAATCTCTAATTGTAATAATATTTCATAGGAAAGGATTAATAGGGAGTGGTAATAAGTATTAGAGTTTTAATTATTTAATACTCTTGTTAAACAAATATCTAATCGATGTCATTAATATAATTAAAAATGGATTGATCGTAATGTAGTTTGAAGGAAACAAACAAGACTACTTTATAAATGAAGGCGAAGTTTATTTCAATTGGTCCCAATAGATTTCACCTGTTGTAATACAACTTCTATGAATTCATAGCATTAGAATGTAATTTAACAATTGTTAAATATACACAATTTTACGACAATGTCATTGAACTAGTCAGTATCATGGAAAATACCAAAAAGTTATCATCGTAATTTTAATATCTGAATAATTGGTGATTATTAAGTTTTTGATTAGGATTATATATCGATTGATGTTGGACCACCATTAAAAGCCTGGAAGCACTAGAGGGCCGATTCGTTCTATTATGGGACCCTTCAGCAATGCGCATCCACGATCACGCCCACGGGGTTCGAACTAAGGACCTATCGGTTTAGAGCACAAACGTTTAGCCCCTAGACCACTGAGCCAGCGTTCGCGCGCGAGGCTGTTAGGTGATGGGTTCGAACCTAGAAAGCGTGATTGTGGATGCGCACTGCCAAAGAGTCCCATAATAAAGCGAAATAGTCGTACAGTGCTTCTAGGTTTTCAAAGGTTGTCTAACACCAATCGATTCATGATCTCTATCAAAAACTTGATAATCTTCACAATCCCATACAGATCATTATTAGTTATATATATATATATATTTCACTGTAAAACTGAGTTATGTATATTCGTATATTAGTTACTGAACAATTTCAGATTTGTCTAACCGTACTGTGCTAACTGGTACAAAACGTGGCACATTGTGTAACTCAACATCGTGTGCACTATATTTATTGTGTAAGATAATTATTGGAAGTAATTAAAAAAACGCTCAAGACATGGATATTTTGCTATTCAGCAATCACCGACAAGGTGTACCTGTTACGTTAAGGGAACTGTACGCCATGTATTCGATTCCGCGTCCCTAAGCTTCACAATCAAGCATCTTATCACTAAGTTATTTGGGTTAATTACATCCAATCACTATCCTATACAAAGGATTAGTCAAAACACATGTTGGTGTTTATCTTTTCTTGTGAGGTTCATATATGCATGTTTATTATGACGATTCCTTTAACAAAACATGTTAAAAATAACTTACTAATTTGCATTTATTTGTACAATGTGATCCATCTTATAAAATTTGGATATAACACATACTTAACTAAACTAATAACAATAATAATGATAATAACGAGGCAAATTAATCAAGGGGAATTCAGCGCAAAGAACATAATTGATAAAAAAAAATGATTGAATGAATGAATGAATGAATAATATTAATCTGTTGATGGCGAATAAAAGAGAAATCAAGAAAACAAATGTGAAAAATAAGCACAGTTTGTTTCCTTGTTATCTAATTTAGACTACCTTATAATAATAATAATTACTATTATTATTAATAGTAGTGGTATTGGTATTGTTATTATTATTATATGTAATTTACAATCACTGACTTATTTTTTTACTTTTATAAAGACTGTAAACAAAAAGCAAATTCATCTATGTATTGTTCAATGGATTAGTTAATGAATCGGTAAATTTGATAAATAATATCTCATTATATTTCAAAAGAAAATTAGATAATATAAATAATAAAGAGACTTGTCTTTAAGAAAATGCTCATTTAGATTTTACAATTATAAGATAGAATAAGTGATTTTTTCTTTAAAAAATATGTACTTTTATGATAGATGATCTATTCAATAATTGAGCTAAATAAAATTATATAGGGAGTCAATAGTTAAGTAGATAACATGATGGTATTTGAAGCGAACAATTCGAGGTTCAAGTCATAGAGTGAATATCAATTCTGAGATGCAGATACATCCAGATGACGAGTTCAAAATAGAACGAAACGAACGTCCTGGATTCCACGGCTAGTCACTGTCCATCTTTACTTATATATAAGGATTGTTTTTTTAAAAAAACTTTGAGGTATGCATGCAATTCTGAAAGTTTATTTTATCAGTGGTTACTAAGAAAATGAATCGGCATTCAAAATAAGCATAAAACACTACACATGTTTTATGTTTTCATCAATAAAATGGGTTGACAGTTATCATAGCTTTGTAAATGTTATCAAATGTTTAGTCAACTGAGAAAAAGCTATTTTATTTGATGTTTTCTTTCAATAGATTACTCAAATTATTTCACGACTTTTATAAGAAAAGGCTTTATAAATGAATTCGTATATGTATTAAATAGTTCATGTAAACAGAACAGACATATTTAATGAGAACTAATTTTTAGGTATTTATGTTTATGATTGAAATTATGAACCGATTGATGTTAGACCACCATTGAAAACCTGGAAGCACTGGACGGCCGTTTCGTCCTGTTGTGGGACTCCTCAGGTTAGACATTAACACCATTGGATGCCGGCTCATTAGTCCAGTAGGTTAAGCGTTTGAGCGCGAGACTGAACACCATGGGTTTGAATCCCGCGAGCAGGATCGTGGATGCGCACTGCTGAGGAGTCCCACAATAGGACGAAATGGCCGTCTAGTGTTTTCAGATTTTCAGTGGTGGTCTAACATAAATCGGTTCATGATTTCAATCAAAAGTTTGACAATCTCCACAACCACTAAACTGTTTATGTTTATATTTCGGTATAGCTAAGTAAATGGGTGATAAAACCTGTAAATAACTCCGTAGATTAAAATTGTGAAAATAAAGGGGGGGATAGGTTATATGCATCAGGTGTTATGAATCAATTAAAAAGAGTTTGGACTTGTAATTTCCAATTTTTTTATTGATTATAAACTGTTATTTAAAGAACTTGGAGTTTGACGATTTTCCACAGATTATCACCACTTAATCAGATTACTAAAATGAGCTAATGAAGTTTGGTTTATAATCTGTTTGGACTATATGAATTTAGATTAAACTATTTAAGATGTTAACTACATATTTACATTACACTTCGTTAGGTAGTCATGAATACTGAAAAGTAAACTCTAATGGCATTAATCAACGCATCAACAGTTTTAAATTCTTATTCTACATATTATAATGATAAATTTACTTTTGATGAGACTATTCCTTTCGATTAATAACTTAGATTATTAAATGATATCATATCTATAGTGAGTTAATGAAAGAAATTATCCACACCATTCATAAACAGAGATATATGTTCCTCAAAAGATTAAACTAGATTTTTATCCAATAGCGTATACATGTCTACCAAGAAAGTTAAGCTAAATCTTTACTAATAATAGCTTACATCAGTCAGTATTTTACATTAGTCATTTGACTTGTATGTGATTGTTTCAGCTTATAATAGCTATTCTCATGTTAATGCATTACTAACTGGAGAAATGATCAAATGCATTTAGTTGCTTATGTTGGAATTCATTATGTCTAAATATTCTTATTACATAGTATAAAGTTCATTTGTTTTACAGCAGATCTCTGATTGTTTTAATTGTTATATGAAAGAAAATCTTAAAGCATTTGATTGACAGATCAATCAAGATTAACTTATATTCAGTTTTATTCTCGCTATAGATTATTATCAACTATGGAATTAAAGTGAACTGGATAACTATTTTCTCCTAGTTTAAAGCTTTTCAGAAAAGTATAGTCATCATTTACGATCCAACAGTTATATTTAGTTTCTGCGGTGAAACTACATAACACTCATAATACTAATTAACAATATGACTTTAATCAAAAATATCTAAACATGATATTCATCTTAAATTGACGTCAGTTCGATTATTACTAAGGTTAACCAATTCTAAATACTTTTGATATTTCTAAATACACCATTCTTTTCAGTTCTCAATTATGGATACAAAGATAACTTGGATCTTGAATTTTTAAATCTTCAGGTAAGCAACACACGTTTGTATCTTTAGGCAAAAAAACTTAGTGATTCAAATAACAAATAAGCTGATAGATACACAATGAATTATGATAAGATGGTGGTTGGAGGTAGTCAACAGGAAACCGTGGACCTAGATTTCGTGCTACTTGGCACTCGTCAGCGAGGTGTATCTAGAGTTTTCAGGGAATTGATGTTCCCTGATGGAGTCGATCCCGTGTCACCCAGCTTCACAGTCAGAGACCTCCTGTAGAAATGAGATGTATTTACAATTGATTGCAACTTGGTCAGTAGGATTAGATTTGCACTAAGAAGGTCTTGGCATACATGACATTAATCACCACCCAATGATCAATCAGTTGTAAATAATGAATTGTCTCAATATATCAATTTAAACTCTACATATTTATGAATAAAAGTGAATATGAACTACTGATTTAAACAACAGCAAAGTTTCTGTTTCACCTATTTTATGTATCGTGAGAATTTTCTTCGGACTAGTTATTTTTCATATCAGAAGGGCTTTTGTGGATAATATAATAATTTCAATGGTTGAGATCATGAGTCAATTGAAGCTAGACCACCATGGAAAACCTGGAAGTACTGGATGACCGTTTCGTCCCATGGTGAGAATTTTTAATGATGTTTAGTAAAAGGGTTTGTTACGAATTGATGTTTTACTTTTTTTCAAAAAAAAATCTTATCATGAATTGTATTCTATCACAAACTGAATCCATTTTATTTGCTAGGAAAATTATTCTAGTAACCTTTGTTACGTAACATTACCATCAACTTAAGAAAACAAATAGTATACATTTGTACTTTAGAATAAATGATATGTGATTAATAGTGGGATCTATGACACTTATTACATCTTAATAGGGACTCATTGACTTAATGTACTTATACTTTATGTATTTTTAAAAGAGAATAAAATAAGTTGATTACATTTTAATCAGAAGAAGGAGAAAAAGGGTACAAAAATAGTAAAGATAACGGTGAAAACATGAAAAATGTTTTTGAATATTTATTTGTAGGAACATCCATTTTTATTTAATGAGGGGGGGGGGGACTGAAAGAAAACACGTAATAAATACAATATTCTGAACGAGTTTTGTTACATATTCTAACTAATTTTTTAATTAATTGTAATATGAACAATGGATTTATGGAATAAGAAGCGAAAATAACTAGCAAGTTATATATCTTCTGTTAATATAGGTCTTTTAGAGGTGATTAAGTTTCCATAGTTTTAACAACGGGCTAATCTTAGCTAGACAACTATTGGAAAATAGTACGCACTAAACGCACATTTCGGCTAAGTATGGGACTACTCGACAGTGGATATCCATAACCCTACATCCAGGGACCAGAGTCAGATCCTTCGGGTTCGTGACAAGGGGTTAGTTTTCAGTTTATTAAGCTGAAATTTGATCTAACTTCAACCGTTTAGCGATATTGAGCAACTATCTATCATTTCTGTTGTTGATAACTGTCTTACATTTGGTATAGTTGGGCTCCACTAATCAACATCGGATTCATGATCAGTGATCTGGAGGTTAAGCGTTTACTTGGGTTGCCAAACTTCCTGGGTTCGACATGTGGAGGGTTTGTTGATACATGAGTCGAAATAATTGTCGGGGACGTTTTTGGTTTTCGATGGTGATATAAATAAAATCAGTCCGTAATATAAACTATGAGCAGATCTATCTTTAAAAAAGGAATGATATTTATGGACTTTGGATAGAATAAGAACGTACTATATATATATGCAACAATTTTAAAAGTTAAACATTACCTGAAATTCAATTCCATTTTCATTACTGTTCAACAAACGACTAACAGTTGTATTAAATTCACCAATTAGATCACTGTAAAAGTGAAATCAAATAAGAGAATAATTTTATAAGAACAGAAATTGTGATTTTCACATATAACTCAACGAAAATACGAAGGGTGATGTACGAATCAAGTTTTATTTTATTTAAAAATAAACGATGGTAAATTGTTTGATGGTAAGATGGATATGGTAGCCCGATGGTTAAGGAGATCGTTTATTTAAAAGTAAACTTTGGTCATTGACTAATATTAACCAAAGGAACAGTAAAAATCGATGAGCACCGTTTTACCCAACAATTTTTTTCATATCTTATAAAAATTCGTTTCCTAAAACATCAAATTAGGCGGATTACTACTTATTCTCTAGATTTCGACCGAAATTTAGTTCAAGTGAAATGTCATGACTTCAGGAGTTCAGTCTGACCAGAAACAAGACAGGTGGTACATGTGCTGTTTAACAATTGTTACATTTTTTCTAAAGTAAGCTTCTTTAAGTCAAGATTCATTTGTTGATGTATATCATACTCGCTGTAGAACCTGAAAATAGAAAATCATATTTTTTGTTGGGTTCTAATTGTGGTACTAATGAAAACGCTGTTCAGTGACGCCTAGATTTCAATGATTTTCTAGTTAACGAGCGATTTTGAGAAAATGTTCACTTCATATCACAGAAGATTTAAAGTAATAATGACCGATAAATCGAACTATCAAGACCAAATGGTTGGTGATAGGTTTTGATGGATTCACGTTATTGATTAGGATTTGGCTCAATTATCCGCGATATATATATATATATACCAATGGGTTTGTATACATTTCGATTCAGTTTGCAAATACAGCTTTTTATTCGTTTGTAATTCTTTCAATGAAGTATTAGGTTAGGCTCGTATATAGAAAGCATCCATATCAGTTTCAAAATCAGAAGACTGACTAAAATATGTATATATATTTGGCGAAATTATTTTAACTATTTATTGTTAATGTAAACTGGGCCAAACTATTAATTGGACAGATTGAACAGATGAATTCCCAGGAGTTAATACATTTTGAGTAGAAAACTTTTCAATTATGAGATTACATGTATTGTGTATGACACCATTAGTATAAAATGCTATATATATATATATATATATATATATATATATATATATATATATATTAATGAACTTAAATCAAGGTAATTCCTTTTCGCAATGCATTCACTTTATAACGATTAAGTTAACTATTTATACTTGTTAATAAGTTGATGCTGAAAATGTTCACAATTAACTTTACAAATAATACCTAGTTTATCTCAAGTGAAAATAATTAGTTTTTACTATTCTGTAATTTATTTGAAGTGTATACTATATTTGACTAAATAGTTTAGTCTTTCTCGAGCGAACGCAATTGCGAAATTATAGTATATTATTTCTTTTAGAAAAGTGATGGTGAAGATGTGTAGCTTAGGCGAATGATTTTGGTGGAGATTTGTTCTCTGAGTTGGATGATTTGGTCGTGGAGCTTTTACCGTTCTTCTGAACAAGATCTTCAGCACAAACTTCTACCTGAAAGTTTATTGTTATTCAAAGTAATAAGTTACCAAGAGTGTTTCAATGACTGAATTTTTTTGTAAAATTTAAATATATTATTTAGATAAGTGAAATTATTAGCCATAAAAGGGAACTGATCACTAAAACCACACCTGAATCATAAAGTTACATTTCATCGTTGATTGTACTGTACATTTTTTTACTATTACTTATAAGGACTTATTTAAGTAATTTCAATAGTTGAGATCATGATTCAATCGAAGCTAGACCACCATAGAAAACCTGGAAGTACTGGACGACCGATTCGTCCTATTGTGAGACTCTTCAGCAATGTGCATCTACGACCCCACTCTTTCTAACACTAATCAACATATGCTCACTAGTGACTGGCTTCAAGAGGCATGTCCTGGAGTTCTAGTGAGAAGCAGTGACCAGTGGAGTTCAACCGGGTCAGTTTTGAGATAGGGACTCACTGATGTCAATGGTGGATGTGTCGCCCAGTTTCGTGGATTAATTGAAGTTAGACATTAACACCGTTGGATGCCAGCCATCTCAGTGGTCTAGTGGTTAAGTGCTCGTGCGCGAGACCAGTAGGTCCTGTGTTCGAATCCCGCAAGGTGGAGTCGTGGATACGTGCTGATGAGGAGTTCCACAACAGGACGAAACGGCCATCCAGTACTTCCAGGTTTTCCATGGTGGTCTAGCTTCAATTGACTCATGATTTCAACTATTGAAATTTCTAAAATCTCCACAAAACCCCTTCTGATACTTATATAAATAATGTATTTATATTCAGTTTGCCGAAAATATGATCATTATTGGACTTGGACAAAACACTGATATGACTATTTGCCATAATTACAGAGAACTGTTTATCCTCAGTATGTCGTCATTGACCGAGGGTTTATATAACCCAATCTAAGGAAGCAGGTAAGACTACAGATGAAGATTTCACTATGCACCAACAATAAACTAAAAGATATATGTATGTAGCATTCATAGACTAATTTGTTTTAATCCAAGGGACATAACTGAATTACTAAGCTATTTATTCTCTTCTTCTTAACAGTTTCTTTTATAAAAAAAATTACATTTATAAATAAAATATTAAGCTACCCGTTTTTCACTATTTTTAATCTTAACTTAAAAACTTGAAAAGAATAATAAACGGTTTAATTTGTTATGTTCATTTATACACAAACATATTAAATAATTATTATTCAAATGATATGCATGGTGTAAATTAATGTTTGAATTAAAGCATTACTGACGTTCTATATATAAATATACATATACATCTATGTATATTCTAATGTTAATACATTGATAGTTAAAGGACTTAAATATTCACTATCTCAATCATATTATTACTATGTTGAGTATACTATTAAACATACAATACAAACATTGTTTAAGTAGTAAACGAATGGTGATTAGTTGAAACCAAGTTAAAAATGGTGAATTAAACATTAAATGGTTAATAATAGACTCAGACATAGATAGAATATAGACATTTACTATTACTATATACAAATCATTTATTCATTCTATATACTAATTTCATGATTACATAACAAACAAAAAAGAAGGATTTAATAGAGACAATCAACATATGAAGTACTTAAATTCACATTGACTTACTCAATTTCTGTATCAACATCTTCACTAGAATAAATAAAATAGACAAATTAAAATTATGAATAAATTAATGAGTTACTTTTTTTGTTTGGTTTTTTTTTTGATTGAAGAAAAACAAAAATACAAAAAAAAGATTCTTATGACATTTTTATAGAAATGAAGTGATTTTAACAAAATGTAATTAGTACCAATTATAAAAACGGATAATGTATAGTTTTTTGTTTGAAGAAGACTTCTAAATCACACTTATACAGTACTGTTAATCGTATTACTTCCAGTATTAGTAATAGTAGTAGTAGTAGTAGTAGTAGTAGTAGACGCAGTGTATCAGGGAGTAATGGTAAATCAATTGATAAGGTTGTAAATCTTCACCGACTGGGATGTTTGGGCCACGTTTTACGTATGCCTGAACACCGATTACCACGACGCACAATGCTGACTAGTGTTGAGGATGGTTGGAAGAATGTTAGGGGTGGCCAAACCAAAACGTGGTATCAGTGCTTGAAGACTCTAACTTCCGGTCTGAGCCATGTTGGTAGATGCAGACTACTTGGTTGGGATCCGCGTGACTATCGTAACCAATGGTTGGAGACTGTGGGTGATATGGCTCAGATTCGATCACAATGGTGTCGGTGTACACCCTCTCTGTCTTCCCTTAAACTATGAAATTAAAATTGATTTATATTTTTCCTTCTTCAAATTAATTCTTTCTTTCTGTACTACATCCTTACATAAAATCTTTCCTTCATTTATTACATCACTGAGTTAACTGCTTCTATGAATCCAGTGTTCGTCCTGTTGTGCAATAAGGTGTGGCAACTTCGACCGATGCATGTATGTACCTGGTCTTACGTTGTACCTGACTGACTGACTGAGTAAGTTTACAATCCTTACAATCTAATGATATTTCATATACATAGTTTCTTTTGAAAAATAGGTCAGTGATTAAAAAAATATGGACAGTAAGACTTCTATCTGAAGTTTTTGCTGATAATGTCGTTCAGAATAAAGTAGAAAGCTCCACGACTGAAACATCCAGCTCTGAAAACAAAACTCGATCAAAAGCAGTGAGATAATATTTATAAAAATTATAAGATTACGTATTAAGTGTTTAGATAATTAGACCATGAAGCGTTTAGTTGATTGAAGAGAAGGCTGAGAGGGTGTGAAGAAAAATAAACGAACAAACAGTATAGAAAATAATAATGAATAAATTCATTTATTAAAGTCCAAAGGAGAGATGAGGGTTCGAATTCATATAGCTTCTGCTATGTGTAAGAGAAGAGATTGAACACAATAAGGAAAACTAGTACGAATACAATAAATAACTTTAAATGACTTGTTTCTGTCCACTACATAACCGCTATCGATCAAGTGTGATAGAATTGAGCTGCGTATTGTCTTGATACTAGCTTTTCCTAACCACGAAGGGAGGTGTTCACTAACTCTTTGGTTCAGTTGTATGGTAGTGTACCCAATATAGCTTTCTCTACAGGATGAATTAGTTTAATAATTTCTCATATGTATATAAATATTACTGTATATCAGAGTAAAGTCTGATGAAGATCTAATCGAAAACAATATTGTTCACTTACATAGATTCTTTTATCATTTTGAAAAGAGCAAGAATAAAGATTTTAACGAAATAGCATAAATTCATTTTATTTCGTCTGATTCTCGTCAGCTGTTTACAACTTGTGATATTTGAAAATCACAATTACATAACAGGCTTAAATTACTTGCATGAAAAGGTTTGAATGGAAATTATATTGAAGATATATACTAGTATAGTAATAGCAACGGTGTAAATAAATTTAATAGATTGAATATTGTAAATATATACCCTATGTTAAAGAATATTCTACAACACTGATTGTAACAACAGTTCAAACGGCTCTTATTGATAAATGGTGTATTCAGATTAATTTATGTTTAAAAAATATATATATAGAAAAACTTCAATAGAATCTTTATAATAAATCATAGTAGCCTAAATAAATCTTGTTTAGAATTCGGTAGTAATTTGTCTTTCTTTGTTTCACTAATTCAATAATCCATCATTTATTGTAGTTCTTTTTTTAGATATCCCATTACTCTATTTACTCCATTACTCTACTTTTACTCTGTTACTATATTTGTTAGAAGTATCTTGGATACTAAAAGAAGTTCTTACATCTTTATTCTTAAGAATAAAGGAAAAAAACGAAAAAAACGATGTATACAAAATTTATTAAAGTACACAAGTATAATTTCTTATAGTGTTGATTAGATTAACTAAAATTAATTAGGAATCTTCTCTATTCCATGTAACGAATACTCTAAGAATGATCTATGAGAATTGTAACTAGTTCATTATATTAGAAAATAGAACGACAATAACACGACTGTTATAAGATTGTTATGCGGCTATTTGGTTGCTTCCTTTTAAAAAAAAACCAAAAAAAAAACAACCAAACGGTATTGATGAAACAAAGCCTATTAATAATTGTAACGATTTATATTATCAGCATATATATATGGGAAGCAATAAAATTGTCTAGTCTTTATTAGGATGAAGGGCGTTCTCAGCATATTCTTATATATTAAACTTCCAAGTTGACTTTTTCAACAACAAGAAGATTACAAACAGTAGAATTTAGAATAAATTTGTACAATTAAATGATTGTCTATTAAACTCAACTGGAAGTGTTCAACATTTAAACTAAGATGTAATGATAGTCTCATCTAATAAATTCAGTACAAGATGAAGTAGATTTTGTTACATTTAATGTTAATCCTTATTAATAGTTAAAATTCCTAAGTGAATATCTTGAATTCTCTCTTTATGTATTTATTAAATGTCTGAAATGTTCAAATGATCTGTTACAATTATAATGAATGATGAAGTCTAAATGTTTAGAATTATTGAGCATTTCTTTTAATGTGTCAATCATTTAAAGTTGTCTACATATGTCTTCTATGAGTATGGTATTGTAGCTCATCTCGGCTTATCGGATGAATCAAAATGTAAATGAATTGAAAGTTAGATATTGAAATAAAATCATTAGTGAAAAATTATACTCTTATATTCAGTATTGACTAGTTAAATAAACTGGCAAATGTTTGATAATTCACGCGTATTAACCATTGAAGGGCAGATAAACTATAAATTCACAAACATATCTTATTCTGTTAATTCAGTGAGAAGACAAAAGTTATCAGAATTATGTGATATATTAGCGTGATACATTTCGAACAATCCGATCACACATATACTTGTTAAGAACATTTATATATAAAAAAACGTCAACTAGACAGGTTAAAGGTAAGCCGTAATAAAGAAAAAGAATAAAGTACACAAAAACAATGTGATAACCACACTGGATAATAAATCAGTAATACCAGGGTAGATTAAGGGTAAGAACAAATCATTTTTGAACACTAAAAAGGATTTCAGTTTCTGAATAGCCAAAGTTTCAATAAACCTTAGTATACGCTCATGAAGGCTTTTGTACAACACTACAAGTGTTGACTTGATATCAACCTTATGATCAGTCACAACCAAATGTTTTGCAATAAAGGAAGATGTCTGTATATCCTGTGATCTTATTTGACCATCGGAATTCATTTGTTTCTGCAGCTGTTTGTGTATGTGTTCCACCACCTTTTCTTGCAGATCGCGATTGCTCCTCCCTATGTACATGTTTCCGCACACATATGTACATTGATAGACACAATGGGATATGACACAATCGCTTACGTGCTCTTTGGGTTTTTGGTGATACATAGACGTCTTTTCATTAATGACTAGTTGGACTGAATAAAATATCCTATTGATGGCTAACTTAAGTCACCGTTTCAACATGAGACTATTTGAGTCACCTCACATTATTATTATAAAACAATGAATGGTCACTAATATTTTCTTAGATTATAAAAAATATGCTCCATTTTTTATGATTGGAATTTTTGTTCATATTTGAATTTGTTGCAATCAGATCAACAAAATGAATTAATTTACAAAATATAATGAAATATGAAGAAAAAATTAGTTAACTTACGAATCACCGACAGCTCCATCCCAGTCAAAGCATCGGAAATATAATTCACTGAAAAATAAAAGAATATTACTCGGTATTTAGATACATATATAGATGTAGATATAGTTTTATATGAATATAAGTCTCTGTTATTATTGTTCGTTAAGAATTTCAGAATGAATCCTAGATGTATAGAGGTGAATTATTGTTATTATTTACTGTAAAGAGGTTTACAAGTGACGGGTACAAGACTGGAGACTATGAATAAAAAGAAATATGTAATGAATAGGTTTTACACATTAGTATTTAGGATTTGTCCACAGTGCTTACTTAAAAATAAACCAATGATCAAATCCATATTATTCAGATCTTTAAACGAATATCATTGACGAATTCTAGACTAGGATGAGTTAGTAGTTGAATGTAAGATTTATGTTCTATGATTTCAATGATGACATTGTAATAGAGCAAAAAATGATGTACCGTTAAATTTATTCGAATAAAATATCATGTATAAAATGCTTAATGATTATCGAAACAGAAGTTAGTGTTTAAAGGTATTCAAATGAGGTTTTTACATTTTAATAAGTTGATAGGTCTAGTATTGGAACAGTTGACTATAATTTAATAACCGCTTTTTAGCTCCACATTATGGAAGACGGAAGGAATGAAGAATGAAAAAAATGTGATTTACTTTCAAAGTTAGTTTATGTGTAGAAAACAAGAGATTTATAGGTTTACGTAATCTTGGTAACGTGGACGTTTTGGGAATCATAACAATTTTCGTGATGAAAATAGATAACTACTCAGTCAAAATGTGTCACATAATCCACCACGTTTCTATAAAGTTTCAAAAAGCTTCCATTGAATGCTGATGTAAAGGAAGGTTTCCGACTTTTTCCAACTTCTGAAAATTGTTTCAACGATTTATCTGGGACCCTAAGCAAAAGTGATACTGTTGAGCTTATTAACTTAAACCAAAAGATGATTATTCATCATAGTTTGTAATAGTTTTTGGTTTTCGCATCTCACTGAATTTCTTAAAATCACTTATAAAGTGACCAGGAATCTACACTACTTCATATCCTTATGTACTGATGTTTGTTGATAGTCAGATCCCATGAAACTGTTTAAAATTTTGTGAGAGATATCCTGTGTTTCAAAAATCTATATTTTGAAATGGTAGAGAACGACAATTCTATTGATTTACTGTTTTTTCGGTATCATTCCTTTACTATATTCCCAAGAGCATTCTAAAAATATTTTAATACAAAATCATTATTGAACTAAACGATATTTTCTGATGAAACAAAGAAGGTTTCGAGTTAAAAGCACATTTATCATTTACGAAAATGATGGATGTTCATTGCTTAATGTAGTCAATGCTACAAGAATCTCTGCTTATTATCAATACATATTAATTGAATATGTGATCGAATGACATAGGATAATCAGTGGGGAGACCAAAATCAAGGTTCAGTGGTTCTAGAGCCTATCTATCTGTTATAACTTGTGAGTTGAATGCTGATTGTCTTGGCTCTTTTAATACTACTTTTTGTATCTGGTTGTCACTGATTGTTATGTCGGAAACGCCTACCACCTATACTCGGAACAAGGGACATCTGCAATTTCCACGACGCGAAAGTAAGAACACAGTGATTAGTATAAGTGAAGATTTATTAACCTCAAAACACGACGACGATTCTAGTCGAAAATACACTCATTTACATATTGATTGTACACTCATTTTGATTAATAATTGGGATGAAACCACATATACAACAAATCACATACTGAGCATAGTTCATGTCAATGGAATACAAGAATATCGTATATCATACAGAAGAAAATATCATACTGTGGAAACAAATCAAATACTACACTGAATGATCATCACGTTGAACTAAAACGGATGTAATATTGAATAAAACTCATAATGAGTAAATCAATCGAAAATTGACTTTTCTTTCCATCATATCCCCCCCCTGTTCTTTTTTTGAAGACTCTATGTTGAGATCCATCTTCAAATTTTATGACTTCATCCTCCCCAAAGAAATAATATTGGGTCCTCATATTCCCAACTTACAGTTAATGTGACTCTATTTAAAATATATTTCTTGCATTGAATAGAGTGTTCACTAGAACTGACTAGATGGTGAGGATCAACGACACTTGATATGTGGTCATTAAGGTTTGATTCTTGTGAAATATTTTCACCACATTTCTTGAAAATCTCGTTAGTAGATAATCGATCACTAGAATAATCGGCATCTACAAAAATCTCATAAGGTTCTTGATCATCATTTAATGAATCCGACAAATTTTCCTCACTTTTGTAAGAAATTTGATCAAAAGCATGTGAGTCATTAGGATAACTCATATCTGGTAAAACAACTAGAGAACCCCAATAAGTACATTCATCAGAAACTTTTGTCTTAGAATGATGAGCTTCATTTAATACGACTGTCTTCATTATGGTGCTTGGTTCATTTCCTGTTTCTTCGTGGGCGGGTACTGCAATAATTTCATGAGCATTTAATAAGACATCGTCTTCCTGTGAGCTGGACTAGTCAGTGTTTGTACATTGTGTTTCGAGGGAAATGGGATTTCAACCCACGATATGGCATGTCTCTGAAATGGACATTTCTGGACCACTGGGCGGATCATGAATGACTGCTACTGCTTATCAAGGATTCACGGAGGGTTTCATCGACACGTTCATACGTTCTGCAGTCATTTTCCAGCTCGGTATCCAAATTAGAAATTAATTTACCAACTTCTATCAAATCTCCAAAACATCGATGATTTAGCAGCCGTGTGCGTAAATTGTCTAAAACATTCAACTGGCTAGTTTTGAAACGCTGCTGTTGTCGCTCAAGTAGCAACTGTAATTGATCGGAAGAGATAGCCATTTTCTGAATCAGCACAATAATGAAAGATACTGTATGACTAAATAACAATCAATGCCGTTCAAGAACACCAGCGAAAACCCTGTATGCTGATTGCTCGAAATAATTACTCTGAATTTTGTCCAATTACAGGCTGACTTTGATTCGTTAATTTGAAGATTGAGGGTACAGAATTGTTGTTTAACCCCGTCACTAATTGTTATAACTTGTTAATGTTCTCCAGAATCATCGTCGCCAATCGGTATAACTAGTAGCATTCAACTGACAAGTTATACCAATTGGCGACGATGATTCTGGAGAACATTAACAAGTTATAACAATTAGTGACGGGGTTAAACAACAATTCTGTACCCTCAATCTTCAAATTAACGAATCAAAGTCAGCCTGTAATTGGACAAAATTCAGAGTAATTATTTCGAGCAATCAGCATACAGGGTTCTCGTCGTTTTTGGGTCAAAGAAAGGAATTCCTATTCATACAGCTAACCAGCTATAACGATGGGCAACCACACTTCTGGGTTACGATTTCAAGATCAAGTATCAGTCTACTACCGCTTTCAGGCAAGCTGACGCATCATCAAGATTAATAGATGCCTAATCAAAAACCCCAAAGGCGACTCTTCTATCAAATATAAAAGCTGAGAAAGAAGTTCATCGCGTATTGGATGACGCAATCAATGGACTTCCAGTAACCTTTGAAACTTTCAAGAAGATCACTGAAATCGATAAGACATTGAGTACAGCTAAATGCTATCTCTCGACCAACTGGCCAAAAACACATCTTGACGGAGAACTTTTGCAATATTTTCGTCTATGTGACTCATTAATGGTTGTCGACTCGTGTATTATGTTCGGTGATTGAATTGTTATTCCGAAGTTGTTGCGTCACAAGGTTCTCAAGCAGTTTCACAATGGCCATGCTAGAATCAATAAAATGAAATCGTTGGCTCGTAGTTATGCTTGTTGGCCATTAATGGACAAAGATATCGAGAACAAATGCCGTAACTGTCCATCATGCAGTCAAACTGCTGAAAATCCTTTGAAATGCGAATCTCAGTGTTGGCCAACGTTTGCAGGACCCTGTGCAAGACTGAACATAGATTTTTCTGGTCCAATCCAAGGAAAAATGTTTCCAATTATTGTGGATGCACTTACTAAGTAGCCTGAAGTATATACCATGCCTAATTGTACAACATCAGAAACAATTCACAAGTTGTCTACCTTGTTTAGCTGCTTCGGAGTTCCAGAGACCTTCGTAACTGATAATGACTCGCAATTCATCGCAGAATCGTTCAAGTATTTCTGCAGCACAAATGGAATAACTCATCTTTGTTCTCCGCCCTATCATCAGCAATCGAACGGACAAGCAGGACGATTTGTGGACACTTTTAAGCTAACATTACTGAAAGAGGGAGGCGGAGGGACAACTGGGCAGGTAACCACAAAATTTTTAACAGCCTACAGAACCACTCCGAACCTTAATGTTCCAGATGGTAAGTCTTCCGCTGAAGCCATGTTCGGAAGGCGTATTCGAACCGTTTTCAACGCCATGTTGCCATCCGAAATAGTGGATGGGCGCAGTTACAATCCAAATATTCGAAGCTTTAATGTTGGCGACGAAGTCCACATTAAATCCTACCTCAGAAACAACCAACGGGAACCGGGAAATATTATAAAAATATTGGGAAAAGTTTTGTACAGAGTCCGAGGAACCTTTGAAACATGTATATGACATAGAAATCAAATCCACAGAGATAAAAGAACGATTCGTACTCAAAATAACCAACTGAATTTTCTGTTAGATTTAATCTCAGATAAATCAACGTTACATATGCCCAAGGACACTAAAAAGAAGTCTCGGACAAGCAAGACAACAAGGGTAATGGGACGCCGCCGCGAATCAGTCGTCAAGTGGATCCTAGGAAGAAATCTTATTCGGGGGAGGTGTTGAGTCGGCTTCCGAGCAATAAAACGGAGTCTATAGAGGCCCTAAAAGAGCCGAAGAGTTCCAGCCAATCAGAACATGGTGGAGCTTTCTAGAATACCAACGTGCCATGCTGCTATTGGTCAGTAGCATAATATGTCTTAGCGGACTGGACAAAATATAATGTTGATTTAGGAAATGCTAGCATCTATAAATACCCGTGATTTTCTGTACACATTGATTCTTACCAAATAGACACTACTCTAGCTTTTCTTCTGCTTTTTGATTTGCGACGGTGAAGTTCAACGTTCGAGTGTCGTAGTCGTAAATCGTATTCTGCGTTAATGAAGTAGCGAACTTAACACTGAGTCAGGGAATTTTATAGGAGAGGATATAAATAGCAAACGAGAAGTTGGGGATGAAGTCACTCTCAGCAATTTCATATGTGTAACTCATTAGTAATCAAACATAAGTTTCACTTAAAGACGATAATGTTAATCTAATGATTTCATTTAAAAAGATTTTTGTAAAGCTACGTTTATTGTATTTAGTTTGCATGTTATTAAAAAGTTTTACACGATATCAACAATGAAATCTTTGTAAAGTTGTTCGCCTACAAGTTAAGTAACAAGTATTCTGAATGCAAATACAGACTAATAAATATTACGTAATCTGAGGAAGAAAAACTTATATGGGATCTTAAATAAGACCTTTATATGAATATATAGTACTGGACATTGTATCTTAAAATCTATATGGATTTTTGTGTAAACCCAAATGAATGTAGACATTTGAATAGAACTTACCAATCAATATTCCCTCCACATAATCTATCTAAGCATATGAGAATCGGTTTCCAGTCTGGAAATAATGTATTCTTGATCACTTCACTTCGGTAACATTTTTGTAATCTATTTTAATAAAAAAGTTTTTTTAAAACACTAACTTTAAAAAAAGTTGACAAATGTATTGTCAATAAGGTACTTCAACTGTCCAATTCATTACTTAGCATTAACCTTAGAAATGAAGGTATTCATTTCACATTCGTCGTTTTTAAATGTTCATTGCTTATTGCTAGATTATCATAACTATGAGAAATTAGTGGACACTGAATAGCTATTTTCTAGTGTGAGATTATCTAGCATAGGTGTATAAATCAGTCAAGGACACTAAATAATCTCCACGAACCCCTATATTGATAAGAAGCATGTGCTCGCTAATGACTAATTTTAAGAGGTTATACGTTCGGTTGCTAATGCGTTCATGAATGTGAATTTCTACGAAATCCCAAACTAGGATGAAATAATTTTTCTGATGCTTCCTGTATTTATTTGACCGTTTGTTTAATATCACTCCAACAGTTAATTATGAAAATAGAAAAAAACTAAACTTTATTTTTATAATTAATATTTCTATAGTGCAATTGTTCATCGAACCCATTTTAAAGAATGTTCACTAATGCTTAAGAAATATTTAAACAGTTAAATCGAATAAATCACCATTCTTTACGAGTTAACTATGCTGGATCGTATCAGTGTTTTAAAACGATTACATTCTAACTCAAGTGCAAATATAGGGAAACTGCTCATGTTTATAAGTAACCGTTGTAATAATGTTGGTCAACTTTAGTTTGTTTTGAAGTAAACTTACCTGACATTGGCTTTATTTCAGTTTAGAACTCAACACTTACGCGTATAAATAATCTTAGAAGTAATCTAAATGTGAGCACAATCATCGCTTCTCAAGCATTCTAATAATTGATTTCGATTCTTGAAATAGTACTTATCTATGAAATGTCACAAATCTACCTTGTAACTAGTCAGTATTTAGCACACAATTATATCCTGTCATGGATTTTCATAGATTCTCATAGAATGCTGCACAATTTTCAAGTTGAACTAAATTTGATAAATCATCTAATCAAATTTAATTTTATTTCAGTTAACTAGAAAGTGTATTAATGAATTCAATGGTAGACGGTGGTGCAACTTCGTGGATTGGTTGGAGTTAGACATTACCATGTTTGGATGCCGGCCAGCTCAGTGGTCTAGATGTTAAGAGCCCGCGCGCGAGACTGACAGGTCCTGGGTTCGAGTCTTGCGAGGCGGGATCGTGGGTGCGCACTGCTGAAGAGCTTCATAATAGGACGAAACCGCCGTCCAGTGCATCTAGGTTTTCCATGATGATCTAGCTTTAATTAATTCATGAATTCAACTATTAGAATACTATAATATCTACATAAACCCATTTCTGATCATAAATTCAATAGATTTATAAGTACAAATAAATTTTTAGAACAATGTTCATTGTCTTACTTTCCTCGTTCATTTCTTCGATAGATAATTACATATGGATCGGATTTACCAAAAAAATCTTTTTTATCCAAATTTGCTCCATTCATTTTAATAAAAATATTTTCCTAAATTTTTTTTTATTTTTAAAATTTATTAAATAATAAAATAAATAGTCATATTGAATAAGAAAATTAATTTAATTAATATAAAAGATTAACAAATCACAATTCATCTTGTATTGATTGTTTACATTTTCTCATTGGTGTTTAATGACTGCAATCAGTTAGTCACTTATTAGAATATGTGCACCATGTGCAGATTGCTTCGATATTGCGTTAAATCGCTAGGATTAGAAGTATGGATGAATAGTAGCTGGTAGTGGAATCCAAGACTTGCGTTTCACTCTCTTTGGGACTCATCAACTGACTGTACTTGTATCCCAGAGTTGATGTTTATTATGAATTTTTAATTTGTAATGGTTTTAACATTTCCGTTGGTAATATTTTGACTGAATTTTAATCAATCATGATTCCCATATGTTCATTCTTTATGAATTGCTTCGATATATGCATTTTTCACAAATTCATATAGGATAGATGGAATGTAGCTAATATGATGGTGTTTGAAACGAAAGGCAATGAGTTCGAATCCTATAGTGAGAATGTACTCTGAGATACAGGTACATTCGGCTAACATGTCGCAAATGAAATAATACGAGCGTTCTGGAATTCACTGTTATTCAAATTCCTTCTGTTCTTTAATAACAATGATAATTATAGAGGTTACGCTGAAACCTCATGTAATAAGTGGACTTTTCTAGTGATTATTGAACGAGAAAATAAACTTTTTTGTAGTTAGATAATCATTTCCGTACTATAGTTGTTTGATTGGTAGAAGAATGATCATTTTCAGATACTGAGATCAATATTATTAAAAAAATATTCGATACCGTTTGATCGATTTTACGTTACGTAATAAATAAGTCACAGTATTCATAGTATTATTATTTGATGTATGTAAACCTTGTTGAAGTGAATTGTTTATTTTGAAAATTCTCATATTTCCCTGTATACACTTGTTCATTGTTACCGAGAATCAAGCTAATTGTCATTCATCGGTAAGAGATATTTTCAAACTTGAAAGAACCTGATGATCTTTATGTTAGTCATGTCTTAATGCTCAATTCAAAAGTGTTTTCATAGTCTCGTAACAACTATACTCGAAAAATTCTTGCTAATCACGAAAACGGCTAACAAAATTCACTGTGATATCAAGTCACATTGAAACATAATCAGCAGAATTTCATCAACCTCAGGAGAATAGGAGACATAGCGCAATGTATTAATAAGTAGTGAATTATTTAGTGCGTGAACACTTCATTAAACTAACAAGGTTTATAGAGATCGATGCACATATTATATCAGAAATTGTCAAGTAAATTTCAAGAGACAAAACAGCCGTTCAGTGTTTTCAGGTTTACAATGATGATTTAACAGTGATCGGTTAACGATCTCCATAAACAATTTTCAAGAGAGTCAAATTAGCGTCATTCATTTCTGAGCTTTTTTATTTAATGATGCCAGAAATTTTATAATAAAAGTAACTTTTCACAGAATTAATTCAACACATTGAACACATTCTCTGTAATTTTCTGTACATCAGTAAACATAGATGAATATTTTAATGGTTAAGATTATGAGTGAGTTGAAGCTAGACAATCGTGGAAATCCTGTAAGCATTGGACGGTCGTTTCGTCCTATTATGGGACTTCTCAGCAGTGCGCATCCACGATCCAGCTCCCCACGAGATCCGAAACCAGGACCTATCAGCGCTTAACCACTAGACCACAAAGCTGGCTGGCATCCAACGGTGTTAATGTCTAACTTTAACTAATCCACGAAATTGAGCGACGCATCCACCATTGTCATCAGTGAGTTCCTATCTCACAACAGACCTGGTTGAACTCCACCGCTGAGGACTCTCACAATAGGACGAAACGACCGTCCAGTGCTTCCAGGTTTTCCAAGTTGGTCTAGCTTCAATTGACTCATGATCTCAACCATTGAAATGACTATAATATCCACAAAACTCCTGATAGATGAATATTGTTAATTTACATTAATATTTGGTGGAATTGAATTATTTTAGCAGCTATGAGATATTTTATGATTGTATAAAATTATTTTATGTTAGGTTACTCATAGTTTACACATTTATCATGTTAACTCGTCTTATAATTTAAGTAGTTTTGTTTATACAGTGAAAATTAAATTGTATTGATTAATGAATAGATACTATTTTATAATGATAAATTATCGTTGTTTTTTATATATATCATAGTAACGAAGAGATATATTTTTGTTGTTTAACACGATTGTTCAATGCTATTAGTCAAGTATATAGTAAAGTTGTTTAATATTCTATATTAAGAACGTTTTATGATATTACTCCACTATTTATCATAATTACAAATGAGTTATTCACTGGATGTTTAAATCATTAGAGAACTAATAGAAACAAAGTTATGATTTTTACTAGAATTTGTTAAGAACTTTAATTAGAACTATATATACATTAGTAATATTTATTCATTTTAAACTACATTTATATAATAGTTCACCTATGTGCGTTATTATTATAATGAGTTTAGTAACAATAAAATTCTACTGATTAAGATCTCAGCTTTAAAGGTATTAGAAAAAAATTATTAAACAATGGATAATGTTTTTCAATTTATTTCATTGTGAATAAATAATGATTATCTTTCTTACTTAACATTCAAGTTTATGACATTAATTTGACACTTATGTGGAATCAGACAGTGGTTAGATGTGGACTCTAGTAAGTGCATCTCATGCTATACGAAATTTGTCAAATGAGTGTAACTGCACCTCAGAGATTTGAAGTCAGTTCTCAAGATGTATAGGTTATAAGCGAAAATGAACAACTGTAATCGTTAATATAAACAAAGGGAAGATTCAGACGTTTAAAAATGAATTATTTACCAGATATGTTCAAGTAAACGATAGAATTGATAGTAGTGATGTACGTTTTTAGTATTGGTGTATATGCTTTTCGAAAGTAAACTGAAGCAAGACGAAATTTTCGTGATTACAAGAGACAGATCAGTGGTTTATGGAAACACCTGAGCTATCGACGACTATTAAAGGCTAATTTATCTAATTGAAGCTTAAAATTGCTTTCAAACACATTATTCTGTATAGTTACGCCTAATGGTGATAATATATGTGAAAATGATAGAAGAATGAAATATCGATCAGGCGTTGGTTATTTTAAATACCAATTATCAATAAACCACAGAATATGAAACTTTTTATCTGATTTTGGCCTGCATAACAAGGGTAATTGAATTTCGATCATATAAAACTGCGTTCTTTCACCAAAAATGGTTTCTATTGAATAACAGAAAATATAGTTACAGTGGTTTAAACAGAGAAAACGTGGTAATATAACACTTATGGTCACAACCTACAGCTTGCGAAACCCTTTATCTATGTAAAATAGTATTGTCAATTAGTTTGAAAAATACATTTCTTAAGGCATAGTTCACCCTAATTAGATAGCTATTGAAAAGTAGAAAGCATTGTATAGTTGTTTCATTCTAGTATACGACTCTTCAACAACATGGATTGACAAGCTCTGAGAGGATAGAACTCAGAACCTCCAGGTCTTGAAACTATGAGTTCTCGTAATAAGGCCAGCTAACTATCTAATGTTTTTTGCTTTTCAACTGCTATCTACGATTGTTCGGTTAATTAAACCATAAACAAATACTTTTTATAACTGTTCCATTTTTAACGTTAGTTTTAGTCATTCAAAGAAAACCCATTTTATTTAATAATAATGACTAACAATCGAACCAGATTATAAAACTCTTGCCCAAACATTACATTCTAAAGGCTTGTCTATTAGAAAGTTTGATGCTAGGGGATTCGCAATGTCAAGGTTTTTTTTTTACAAAAATGTACTGAATAAATCCAAACCCTTAAAATTCGTTCTTATGGAAATAAAAAGATTTGTTTCCACTAGGAATAAATTATGTACAAATGAATATGATTAATTCGATTGTGAAATGCTTTTATTAAGTAGTAGCATATGAATTTCTTTTACCATTGCTACATGAGAACCACACATAATTTTGTAATTAGTTAATGTGTACACGAATATATTTATATATATAGTTCTGTATTCTGTTTAAGTAAATGAAAGTAGATTCTTCAACGTCGTAGAGAATGTCGTCTATAATTAAAATGTTCGTTTTTTAAAACTACGGTGTTTTGAATCAATAACTACATATGTATTGCTGAGACGAATCTATTGTCTTATTTTGACTACTTTGTTGAAAATAGTCAAAGTTTTGTTTTGTTTGTTTTTCTTTGTAGTGTTTAATGGTTGTACTAAAGTTATAACCCAATTTTTTAATTATTCTTACATAGGAAGTAAATTTCATCTTGTCTATATTTCTGTTGATGAAAAGTTATTTCAGTATTGGTATTTATTGAATACAAACCATTAAAATGAACTGTTTTAAATGATTGGATTTTGTATGGTTTCTCTATATATATCACCAGTGTTTGGGAAATTGATTTTTTTTAAAAAAAGAACAACATTCTTTGTGATCCCATTTAAGTTTTACTGAATTCCGTTCCAAATGTAAATCTGTATGCAATATTTCGGTTTAAATATGTAAATATAAATTATAATGAATAGAATTAAACATTTAATATTATCAATGTTTAATGAATTAATATCTATACACAAGAATAGGGACTTACTTTAGAAAAAGGATCTTCTCGAATGCAAACTATGATAAAAACAAACAGACAAACAAAAAAACGAACAGATATGAAATGAATGTTTTAGTTATTGCTGAGAAAAATCACTTGATTAAACTGTATATTTAAAAAAAACACAGTAACGAACGGCAGACGACTTATGCTTTCCGGTCATCCATTTTTATCAGCTGTGCAAACACTGTAGTGTGATAGTTTTTTTCCTGATTTGTTTTAAATGACTAGTTTTCTAATATTGATTCCATGTAAGCATGAGTTATTATAGGAAGCGTGAAACGTATCAAAAAAGAAAAAAAATTGTACAAAGTTTCAGATAGAACTATCATGGTGGTTAATATATTTTCGTAACTTTTCTAAATACAGGTAAAATAATTCTGATGAAATTCATGCATCAACTATATTGTACGACTAAAAAACAAACCATCAGAAGAACAAAACTGGTCGGTAACGTTGTAAAATAAGGGTAAAAGATAGTTGAAAAGCATTTTAAAGTATACATTTTTTAAATATCCGAAAGTGACATTCGGGACTATTAAAGTACTTCATAGTTTGTTTTAAAAATTGTCCACCGTAGTCACGTAAACCTTATTGAATATAACAGTCATCATAATAATACATTTATTGAGTCATATTGAAAGTTGTATTCATATGAAAATAGATAAATACAACTTATTTAGCTACAACCTGTTTGGAAACTATATCTTCAATAGAATGGGTTATTATTAATTTATCTATCATGTAGCTAGAAGTGAAATTCAGGATGCAAGTTTCCTTCTGTTTGTAACTTGTTAGGTGGGTGTACCTGTGTACCAGTATTGATATCTACATTAAGATTAGAACCCTATGTCTATTTAAACGGCAACGTGAAATATGTTAAATTACTCAGCAACGTGTTTAGAAAGTATGAAAGTATCAGTGAAAGCTTAGAACTTCCTGTTGTTAAAATTTAGAACTGAAATCCGCTCAGGATGTACATATGATAAAACAGACTGGTCATTTTTAAACTCGAATTCCAGCAACAAAAAGTAATAGACAATTGTACAAGCTATTGCTATCAGAATGATAAAGTAAAAATTTGGCATATCTGGTTTCAATGAAATATTGTGTAAATTTTAGTTCTATCTAAGTGAACTCATTAAAATATTATTGGGGTTGATAATGAACAAAACAAAATGGTATAAATATCATATCATAGATGTGACTTGGTATGTCATAAGTAAATTTAAATTATGTGAATGACTTTTTAAAAATAAAAACAGTATTGAGTATTTTCTTGCTTTAAGCCAGAATAGGAAGAATTTGTGGGAAAAACAAGAGTCTTAGATACAACACAGAATGCACCAATCCAGTCACAATTGACGGAGAAGATTTGGAAGATGTAAAAACCTTTACGTATTTGGGCAGCATCACTGATGAACACGGTGGATCTGATGCAGATGTGAAGGCGCGGATCGGCAAAGCAAGAGCAGCATATTTACAACTGAGGAACATCTGGAACTCAAAGCAACTGTCAACCAACACCAAGGTCAGGATTTTCAATACAAATGTCAAGACAGTTATACTGTATGGGGCAGAAACCTGGAGAACTACAAAAGCCATCATCCAGAAAAAACAGGTGTTTATTAACAGTTGTCTACGCAAAATACTTCAGATCCATTGGCCGGACACTATTAGCAACAACGTACTGTGGGAGAGAACAAACCAGATCCCAGTGGAGGAAGAAATCAGGAAGAAGCGCTGGAAGTGGATAGGACACACATTGAGGAAAGCACCCAACTGCGTCACAAGGCAAGCCCTCACATGGAATCCTGAAGGCCAAAGGAGGAGAGGAAGACCAAAGAACACATTACGCCGAGAAATGGAGATAGACATGAGAAAAATGAACAAGAATTGGATGGAACTAGAAAAGAAGGTGGAGGACAGAGTGTATTGGAGAATGCTGGTCGGCAGCCTATGCTTCATTGGGAGTAACAGGCGTAAGTAAGTTTTATAAGATTGTAATGATAAATATCCATATAGAAATATAGTTACATTTAGCAATTAATTATGAAATATTTATCATGGATTATATTTGCGATGACTATTTAGAATAAAGAATTCATTTTGTAATATTTTTAATTGGCTTTATATTATTCATTAAAAAATCGATCATTTTAAGAGCCAAAAATGTGAAGTTCAAATTTCCCAATGAATTTGATAGAAAAACGTTTTTTGTTGAGAAAATTATTTTTAATAGAAAAGAAAATTGATGAAACTCTAATTTATCGATCACCTTTGAATGATGTAAACGTGACCTTGAGAATGTCCATCAACTTATTTGGGGTTATATATAAGGATTATAAACTAGTTTAAGGTACTAAGATTATGATTTAATGTTGTTGGTTAGAATTAGGAATTAGATTTAGGGTTTTCATCATGAATTGATATTAGCTAAAATGCTAAAACACTACTGAGCTAAATGGATGAATGAATTTTGAACTAAAATTCAAGACTTGTTATAGTAAATCTGATTGGTTCGTCCATAAATTATAGAGTCATCCAATAATCTATTGATTATTAGCAAAATACATGGATTTCACATGAGAAAACTCAGAAAAGTTTGGTAAATGTCAGCTCAACCAACTATTCTGAACATGTAAGCCGAGGTATTATATTCATGTTCTGGGCGAGACTATAATTTATAGACGAGACAATTAGATTTACGATAACAGGACTTGGATTCCAGCACGAAATTCTTCAACCACTTGGCTAAATAACGTCTCGGCATTTTAGCTGATGTTAGATGGTGATAGAAACCCTGTATCTAATCTCTATCCCTAACCATCAACTGTAAATCACAATCTTTATCCTTCACAAACGTTTAAAATCCATATTTAGCCCTAATCAGTACGTGAACATTCTCACGGACACTTTAGTGCCGCTCAAAGGTCGTTTCACCAATTTCTGTTGTATAGAATAAAAATTGTTTAAAGAAAAATCATTTTCTATAGATCTAAAACAAATTTTCTACCATTATAAAACAACCGATTTCTATTCATTTCTGTAAGGGTGAATAATGTTTGAATACATACAGAACAAAGAGGCAAAATTTACAAAGGAATATACAGCTCAATCTACATTTGTATGTTGAATAAAACAAGAGAATAACAATATTGAAATTCATTTGTGAATGAATTTATCATTAGAGTTTTGCGAAACTTCAGTCACCATATGCTATATTATGTAACTAAGTATATTCTTTTATTGTAATTGGTGGATAATTATTAAAGCTTTCTCACAGGTATCAATTATTGGGTAGTTAATTAGGTTACAGTATGGTTGAATGCTGTTTTAAGGCATATAGTATTGAACATATGTTTTGTTTACTTTTGGAGTTCTTTAGGAACATTCGCATTCGCAATCACTCAAATCAGTTTCATGCTATAATATAAACTGGAGTTTGAAATGAGGAACGTTAGATTCCAGGGAACTGATTTGAAAGACCACTCATGGAATGAAAGATTCTTAAAATCTTTAAATGTTAATTTATATCTTTAAATAATTTCAAATTAATACGAAACACTTTTTAAATGTTCCTTAGTCTTCGATAATTTCTCAGTTGAGGTAATTATTTGATGAAAAATTATCTTCAGTTTATTGCTGAATACTCCGTATTTCGTCTCATAATCTTTATTGATAGATCGATCAATTTCTAAGTATGACACATGAGTGAAACTGACTTTTCAGTTTCACACACATCTTATCATATTGAAAATATGCTTATGTCATTTATTAATATACATTATAGCAACTCATGTGCAATTGAGTTTGTTCTCATTTAATTCGATTAAGCCCTTTTGTTGACTTATTTAGCGGACAAAGTCATCCATACTATAACAACTTATTGTATCTTTATTATTGTTGTGCTTGTTTGAAATATGTACGCTTGAACACAGCTTACCACCTACGCATAAATTCATTCTGCTAGCTTTATTACTAACTGCTTAATTGATTCGATGATCCATTCATTTTCTTATATATATACATGTACATTCAACACTACACTCTCGGTTCGCTGACTCATTCATTTGCCTCTCGGCTTTGTGGTCTCAGTTATCTGCTAATAATAAAACTGTAGTCGCTGCTTCTCTTTACCTTCTGATTTCAAACACCGTTGAGGATTATATGGTAACGGTTATGAGGGTGATTAGTTAACGAAGCACAGCCACTACATATTAGCATAGTTTTTAAAGAGAAATATGTCACATGTGAGCTTTAAATTGAAATAAATTCTTAACGGTTATTTATTCTCTGAAGAAGTGGCACACACACGAAGTCAAGAGACGTCAGAAAATCTAATTTTTCTACTCATCGGGATATTACAAATATATTCATTCATCAATAACAGTCTACCAATGTTCAATTTATTCGAAATTGTCAAGTTAAACCTTGGTAATGATGCCTATAAATTCTGAACGGTTAAAATATCTAAATGTTTAAATGAAATTTAATTCCGTTAGAGACTATAAAAAAACGTGTTTCTACATCTTATAAATGTGTGTAAACAATTTCCATAATGGTAATAAACTTGGAAAAGAGGGGGTACTAAATTTCAATATTCTAAACAGCTACATTTGTACTGCATTTGAATCAAATTGAATTTCTCTTCTTGTTTTCTCATTTATTTATTTCATTAGTATTAAATGTTTAGTAAATGTATAAGTGAAAGGTTTGTCGTAGATTTGACCATGATTGTCAATCTAATTAACTACCGAATGTGTACCGTTAGGAATTTATGTCTTATCATGCTACCGGCCACATAGTATGATTCTACTATCAGCTCGATAAACAATTTGGTAATTTTACTTGCATGAAGTTTTACTTTCATTTGGCACTGAACACAACCGACTATTATTATTATTATTATTTTTATTTTTATTTTTATTATTATTATTATTATCGCTTTTGTTACTGTGTTTAGATGTAACGTGTCCTCATTGAGAGGAACGTTTAAACGAGCTTGGTTTCGGTATTGTTTAGTTCTATTATATCCAGTCATATTAAATATTATCATCATTATCCCTATTACTATTATTATTAATATTGGAATGGTCATCAACGTCAGTAACTGTTAGCAAGGTCTCAAGCAACAAGTCAAGGACTTTTTTTTAATCTGAGAAATTTATTTATAGGTATTTTTAAAGCTTAAAAATACCTTACTGTTTGTTTTATGAATAAACTGAAACGAAATAGATTATATTGTTTCCATTAACTTTGAAACAATAAATAATGTTCCGTACCAAATACATAGAGGATAGTAATTAACTGATGTTATATATATCTGAACAAATATAACTGTATTCGATTTCATTTGGCAAATTATACTCACAGTCATAACGATCACTAGATATAAATCTTAATTCAATATTAACAAAAGATAAAACTTTATAGTATTATATTTAAACTGTTATATTTCCTTATTACACTATCATTAAAACGATAGTGGCTTTTTCAGTGATTACATAAATAAACATAATCGATCATCAAATATTTCATAAGAGGTTTGATTATCAATATGAAAAGTAATCTAATTTCCCCAGTTGGATTGATGTATGATTATTGTATACAGCGAAAAATATTATGTTATGGAATGGATATAAGTGTGTCCGGTAAGAAAAAGAAAGATTCATTTCATTTGCATGTAATAAATTTCAGACATGATAAAAATAGAAGTCATTGATTAGTTTGGTTGTAAAACATCCAGTAGCTGAGGTGAAGATTGAACTGATAAAATACTTATTGTGTTAAACCAAACATCTCCAGATGTAAATAATATTCAATTACCGATTCTTGATCATTTTACAAGTTTGCATGATCATATATCATATATTGTGGAATGACTAATGTTACAATATTTGAAGTATTGAATATCGACTCAATGGTTGGCAAGTTTCATACTTACTTACGCCTATTGTCCCTTGTCGAGGAGCATAGACCACCCACCAGCATTCTATTTTCAACCCTGTCCTGAGCAATCCTTTTCAGCTCTTTGCAGTTGCTGCTCATCTTTTTCATATCTTCTTCCAATTCCCAATACAGTGTGTTCTTCGGCCCTCTTCTTTTCCATTTCCCTTCAGGATTCTAGGTTAGCGCTTGCCTCGTCATGCAGTTTAGTGATTTCCGTAATGTATGTTCTATCCATTTCAATCGTCTTTTCTTAATTTCTTCTTCTTCAGCTGGAAGCTGGTTTGTTCTCTCCAACAGTAAGCTGTCGCTGATGGTATCCGGTCAACGGATATTGAGTATCTTGCGTAGAAAACTGTTTGTAAATACTTGTACCTTCTTGATGATGGTTGTAGTAGTTCTCCAAGTTTCAGCTCCATACAGTAGAACTGTCTTGAGGTTCGTATTGAAGATTCTCACTGTGATATTGGTTGACAGTTGTTTTGAGTTCCGTATGTTCTTCAATTGGAAAGTTTGATACACATCATTATTCTGTGAATAAAATGAGTTCAATCCCATTTGCAGTCATAAACGTACACTTCTGCTCCCCGATGTATAGATCTGGTCAGGTTATAAGGTGAAATATACTCCACAATCTTAGTAGTAGATCTTTCATTTAAATATCAGCTAGAATTATCAAAAATGGATAACATCCTCGAATCATATGTCTACATTTCATCCATTTTCGAACTCATCATCAAAAAGTTACAGATTTGAGTCTCAGTGTGATAATCAACACTGAGATACAGGTATGTTCCATATAAGACAAAATGTGCTACCTAGATCTTATGGCTAGAAAAATGCCGAATATACAAACATATGGAGTGTTCGATTTGATTTATTGATAGATACTACTGTTTCTCAATGAAACTAAATAAGCAATCAGTGTCCGATGTTTAGTCATCATTATACTTGATCATGTCATAAATGTTTTATCTTCTATTAGCATGAAATTCATTGGCTCGAATGTAACAAATATTGAAAATGTTCTATTTTCTTTAACAAATGTAGAAATAATTTCCTGTTTTTTAATTTATTCACCAAGCAAAATCAACTATGCATTTTTATTGATATAACAACTATTTTTTTTAATTGTTGATTGAATCAAAGTCAAAATGCCGTACATATTGAAATATATAAATGTTCTTTGTAATATTTTAAACAGTTTACCAAAACCCCATTAGGAATGAAAGCTAGAAAAGTCAGGTCTCTTTGCAAGCGCTTAGATTTTGAATCATCGAGTCTTTATCTAACATTTGTAAATCTAATTATCTCGATATGTTGCTGGGTAACTTTTTATTACAACCCCGGGAATCACTTTTCTCTAGTGATTATATAATTCGTACATTTATTTAGTAAGTTTACTTCCGCTGATTACAGTTTAAATGAGGTAATAATTCTTAACAAATTGGATGCATATATATTACATCATATTTACACTAGAGTTTTGATCAAAATTGTAAGTGATATAAATGGTAAATTTGAAAGAATCTTAAGATTTATTCATACAGTTCATTGTTTATTGATTAACTGTATGAATATTCTAGAAAAGAAAGTTAGAAAATGAATAAGAACAATTTTTACAAATGAAACATTGACATTATTATTCCAATAATCTCAATCACAAAAATTTGATTAATGGAATAAAATATGAAATTTATAGATGAACTTATTAAAAATTAGATCTTCATTATTATCATTAGCTTTAATCATTATTATATTTTTGGTACAATATAGAATTCTCAGCACAAAGTATTTCAGCAAGTTTCAATTTCTTACTTCATGGTCGATCCCGACGATAAATATTGAGTAGTCGCCAGCTAGAAAGTAGCAATCCAGGAATTGACATCTGAATAATGTACATTCTTTCACTGCCTGGCCCCTAAATACCATGGTACGGTCGAGAGCGGGAAGAGTTAGCTCATGCTGTCAAAATGCTCTCACGTGGTATATGCGCATACAGTCACTGCCAAGAAAGTTCTACTCATTGCTTTCTCGTGGCGGGAGTGTTGCTTACGAGATTAAGAGAACGGAAAGCAAATGTCCGATGCTTTAGCCGGGTTGGTGGACACGAAACGTTCACCCTGATTCCAAACCAACGATGTACATGAGCTTCAGGATCCTTTAGGAACAAATGGCGTATGAACCAATTGTTGGTCACCGGCTACTATGAGACTGCATCTCTTGATGTTGTTCCACTGCCTTGTAGATCTGTTAGGTTCGTTAACCTTGAGGATACTACTGACTCGAATTATTCTGAAACGGAACGAAAGCTCAGGATTCAGACACTCAATAGACTATTCTGGTCCGTTGACTTCGACTCAGCTAACTCGATCAAGAAGTCTTGGTAAGGCGTAGAAAGTGTATTCTACAAGCAACAGCAGATACCAAGTCAGGCAGGCAGATCAGACCAAGCATACAAGTCAAGCGTATTTATACAATTCTTTACAATCGATATTGTCATAGGATATTTTTAAACATTAATCAATGAGTTCATCAATTGACCTATTTGCGCATTTAATCGATAGTTCATCAATTGACTGCTATTCAAACATTTAATCGATCAGTTCATCAATTGACCCCAATACAAATATTTAAACATTTAATCAATAAGTTGATCGATGCGATAAAATTTAAAATATGAGTTTGGGGATCTATCGTCCCCAACAGGATCAGACATTTAGGTCAAAGGCTCCGGGTGTAGCCTCCTAAGAAAACCACAGGTTTCGGTCTGGGAACCCAGGTAAAATCATAGCCCACACACAAATCAAGTGACTTGTGTGGTGCATATGTATTCGGTGCCTCACTGTACCAATATTTCTGTGTTCAAATAAATAAATAAATTTTCATTGCATATTGTCAGCAACCACAATGTCTCGGATTGGGATTTTTTGCAACTTGTACAGTGGAAGATTGTAAACCTTTCATAAACTCACCTTAATAGGTTGTGCGATTAATAAACATAATGATGTGTTAAAACAAGTAAAAACAGATAACTTATTGAAATATCTAGTAGGCAGAAAAAGGTAGCCCAGATGTTCAATCAAGCCGCCATCTAGTCAATAATATTGTTAGAATCATTTGGTTAATTTAGAAAAAAAGTAATGTAAATGTTAAACTATGATGAATTACATTCCACATCATTTCATAATTTTAAACTGTAGAATCTAACAAAATGTAGTTGAATTTCAGGTTCTTTTTATTCAAAAAAGTATGAAATTTACTTCAATGAATAATGCTTTACAATAAATACAATTTCATTATCAATCCAAATATTAGCAACAATTTGATTCACAGTGCTCATGTATAGTACCTTCGATGTCTTTTAAATTACATAATATCATTTGAAAGTTGTTTCTATGCAATATATCCGGTTTCTAGTGGAGGAAACAAACATGTCTCTTTAAATTGAATTTCTTAAATTAATCTAATTTACAGATGACAATAAACATTTTAGTGTTTTCAATATGAAGTAATCTATCATTCTGAGTTTTATACGAATTATATTTGATATACAAATTAATATTTGATTCGAGTATGGATGGATAAAAATGAGGTGCGAAATTGAATTATATAAACGTTTATAACCGGGAATATAATATTGATTTATTTTAAATGTAAGTGAATCAGTAATTGATGTGAAATTACCCCATATATATAATCAATATAAAAGGTGGATCTACTTACCGACCACTTCTGTTGATGTATTTCGATCAACTTGAATATCTTCATTCCATCTACAAAATTAAAAAAAATTGGTGGAAGTCATAATATGAAAATATTGCCGACTAATTTTACTACTACAGAATACAGTTCAACTTTAATATGGTCATATGTTCCTTCGAAAATAAGGAGTTGGCAGAACACTTATAGGCCAGTTTAGTAGACAGTTCAAATTGTAAAACACTTTGTAAGGTGAAAATGGACAACTGAAGCCTATATATATGGATTATGTAAATAATTTGTAACTTCTTACAATAAGCATACATGCGTCCATTCTGCCTTTTGTCGTGTATTACAATATTAAAGTATATGATGAAAATAAGCATAAACTGTCTATACTTTGCAGTTATTCAGGTATATTACCAACCTATAAAAAATAATGAACAAGATTTGCATGCTTCCTTCAATTCATGTCAGCATCCTTTTGAAACTCTAACCTAGACTAAGCTAAATTTTCTGATAATAATAATTAATCTCTCCTTAAATATGTGTTCTCTGACTAGATTGGTATTTGATTTTAGTCACAAGTTCTAAACATCAACACTAAGATATGTGTACAACTAGATGATAAGTTTATGATAAAGTAAAATTTGAATCGTAAATTTCCCTTTTATCTATGATCCAAATTTATTTAAAACACCTATTGTTTATAAGTCTTAATTATTTGTTGGAAACGCTATCACTATTTATATATGAGTATGAAAAAATAGATCATTGGACTGATCTGATTAAAAAAAAATACTTAAAGGGAACAATGATACTATTACTATTACTTTTTTTTCGCCGCCTTCACTTATTAACAACAGATTGCAATCACAAAAAGGAAAGAAAGGTACATGATGAATGCTTCTGTGTTTTAGAAAGAAAATAGTTTCTACTAGTAACCTTTGCATAGTTAACATTAGGGTTTATTCAGAATTTATCTAGAGAGTACAAATAACAGTGAATTATATATATATATATAATAGGAAAGGTGACACTAATCGATATTATCTGAGACCCATTTATACTTTTCGTTTATTTTATTACTTAAAATGAAGGTCAAGTTGAGTATAGAATGAAATCAAACACGGATCATGTTGAGGGTGAAACTTTATAATTACACGTTGTTTGTACACAAGTACACGCCTATGTGTTTATCAGATGATTGTAAATTTTATAATCAAGATTAACATAATTTTTATTTGTACAGTGCGATTTTATTATCAATAAAAAGGAAGTAATTATGTATCAGTGTTGAAGTAATATTAAAAGAATTATATGTATTCATATAATGTTTTCGTCCGAAATAAAATGATCTGATATCTAGTAGTAACTAGGGGAAGAGTTGCGGAGGTTGTTTAATCTTGTAGTTTGTATTATTGATCAACCTTAGTTAGACAATAACTAACAAAGACAATAACATCCCTCTGCATTTTGTTTTCCAATGGCTGTCTAAGATTGATTTACGTTGCTGGCTCTAAATATATGTTGTCACGTTAACGATTAGTTATTGTTTTATTGAAATCATGAACCGATCAATGTTAGACCAACATTGAAAACCTGGATGCACTTGAAGGCCGTTTCGTCCTAGTATGGATCTTCTCAGCAGTGTGTAACCAAAACCATTCTCCATTGTCTTCGGCCGGTAACTTCCTTACACATGACTTGAATTGGCTTATATGGTCATGGTTTCTCACTGAAACTCCAGAGCTTTTCACTAGTGAGCAAATAATAACTTTCAGTCAGGGGTTGCACAATTGTCGTGAAATCTCGTAGATTGATTGAAGTTAGACAATGACACTGCTGAGTGCCAACTTGGTGGTCTAGAGGTTAGGCTTTCATACTCGAAACCGAAGGTCTCGGGTTTAAGTGGTGCGTGTGGGGTCGTGGATTTTCACTGCTGAGGAGACCCATACTAGGACGAAACGGCAGTCCAATGCTACTAGGTTTACATTGGTATTCTAACACTGATCACTTCATAAGTTCAGTCAAATTCAACAATTTCCACAACTTCTTACTGAAAATTAGTTAGTAAGACAGAATATGTATGTCATTCAATTTAACTGTTATTTTCTATCAAAAATACGCTTTCAAATGTTGATAAGTTGTGTTTAGAGATTTTATTATTTAGTTACTAAATGAATTAGTCATTTAGAAATATTTCGGAAACGAAACTATCTTTTCAAAGAAAAACTATACAATTTAATATGCAAATTCACTTCGTATTGTTTACTTCAATGGAAAAATCCAAGTAAACAGTACGAAGTGGATTTAAACGTCATCTCATTGCACAAGTAAATAGCCATCAGGACTCAGTAGCTAAGTGGATAACGCCGATGGCATTAGAAGCTCACAGTACTGGGTTCGAGTCCCAGAGTGAACATCAACTCTGAGATGCAGGTACATCCAGCTGACGAGTCTCATATAAGACGAAACACGCATCCTGGATTCCACTGTTAGTCACTATTTATCTTTGCTTATAATGCTTGTAATTTAATATGTAATTTACTTGGTATTCCATTTTTAATAGACTGGATGATTTGTTTTTATTGAGAGTTACAATTGTAAATAAGCAGTTTCTATTTAAATGTAGAAATTTTGTCATCAATATTGGCAAGATAGTTTAAACCCTTGAATACACTTGTGATTATCTAAAATGAATAGCATAGTATATAGAAATTTGGCACATAGTATGAAAAATACTGGATTTCAATTCTAATATGGACATCAACAGGTATACATAACTGATAAGTCTCATATCAGACAAAATCAATATCTTAAATTCCATTACTTATCATGATTCATCAGTTCTACTCTGAATCACTGATAATTTTCCTCATTAACATTTTTTAACAACAATAATAACAGTCACTAGGTATAAATTGAATATTCTTAATTCTAGATATTCCATTCCTTCAAATTACATACCGATTTAATCTTATTATTCATTTATTTATTTATACAAATATAACAACTTGTCATTCAAAATGAATGATTCTATATCATAATATATTTGTATCTAGTAGAAGATATGAAATGTTTTATTCAACTAGACTTTAAAAAATATCAGATTTATATTATTTGACTGTTTTAAATAATGAATGTTACTACTTAAATTTGGCGCTTATAAAAATTTAAATTATTTGAATGATTTTACGATTAAAGGTAACTATAAATGAAATTAATATTTGACGCCTGTAATGATTGATTTATGTATTTAGTTAGTAAGTATAAGTTCTTTTGTCATAGTAGATAGATGATGATTTATATGAACAATTAGTTGATTATATATTTTTTGTGAAATAATATTTACTACTGATTTAATTATATGGGAATAATATGTTTTTTAATATTTTAGATTAATTTTAACTGACAAACTAACATATATACTTAGTGATTACTGTAATAAGGAGGAGATTTAGAGAAGTTGAGATGATCGGCATTATTTTTTTTTATAGATTATTGATGTTTATATTTTTATTGTAAAGTTATTCGATAATTGGATTATTGTATTTCTATAATCTGTAATCTAATGGAAATACTTAGTTGTGATTATCAAGTTTCGTGTGTTGTACAGTTCATTATTTCATAAATATTCTTAATCAGTTATATACCGTCTACTCGGTTCTGTGTCAAATATAGCTTAATTGTCCATTAATTATGATTTCTCATTTATGGTGTGTTGTGATCTAATATATATATATATATATATATATATATATATATATATATATATATATATATATATATATATATATATATATATATATATATATATATATATATATATATATATATATATACTGATAATCGTTTGAGTTACAAAGACTGGGTGTCTAAAATATAGGTACATAGAAATTTATCTGCTGTGTTCTTTCTTATCGGACTTGATACTAGGATAGGAGAAGAGTATATGTTCTGAACCCTTGAGAGCTATGATTATCTAGGCGTCATCTGGTACTTTAATCGTGCATGTTAGAGGGTGTAATTGGTCAATAAGTGGAACGTTATTCGATGAAGAAATAATGACAGGATTCTTATTGATGAGTCTTAACAAATGATATCGATTAACGTCTTATTTCTCAAACAGACCATGTCTATTTTCAATTAGTACATTACCTACATATCTACTTCGATAAAATGATAGTAATAAGTTTGATTGCTGAATATTAAAAAACCCTAGCAGTGACATCTCATTGGTTGATAGAGTTTTTTCTAATATTCCGTTTTATTGTCTGAATGAAGCGTAATTATTATGATGTTCATGCATTTCTAGTACAATATGAGTAGTCATTAATATCATATATCGCATAGTTTTCATGTAAAGTGAAACGCTATGAAATTAGTACAGCCAGGAGAAATTCGCGGTCGAAAATATTAACTGTTACAGAAACCGCCTTAGTAAATATATATGGAATATTTTCAAATTTTTTCGTAAAGTAATTTCTATAATTAGGTATTCAATATTGAGTAAAACATTTATGATAGCTTTCGTATTCTAACCATGATCACTAAAATGTCTATCCCTCACAATGAATATTGAAATTTATCAATTTTTGTGGTTGGTTGGCAGTGATATTCATGGTATACGTTTCATTCTTTCCAGGGTTGGTCAGGTTAATGCGCATGAGCCTTAACGTTGATGTTCAGACTAAAAATGAAGGGTGGTATCTATTTCTTAAAGTACCAGCGCATTATACATTAGTTCACTGAGTCGAGATATTCATTGAAAATAATGACCGAGTTCGTTTCTGAAAATAAAACATTGACAGGTCAAGTCATATGTTCATTATCATAAAGCTAGACAAAATGGTTTGGTTGTTTCATTATGCTACTATTACTGTTCTTAAAGTTTTGGAAATCAAGCCTTATCTATATTTTATAAGGTTATATTCAAAACATGCTAGTGATAATTGCAACTAATTGACATTATTTTTGGGTATGATTAATAATCGGAAACTACTGGGAAGTAGCGTGCATCCGCTACCCTGATGAAGCCTGACCCTAGGATCCTCAGATCTTGTACAAAGTACTTTGTCGGCATACAGTGATATGTGTATCAAAGACTATTGATATTTTGTAATAACTACACTTTATCACAAATCAATTAAACCTAAAAATGTATATCGTTTAACCGAAACTTGGTAGTTTATTGATACCTTCCATCAAACCTGTAAGTCCTCAGTCTGACCCCTGGTAAGGTGATAACTGAACAGAAAAGTCCTGTCTTGGGATAACATCTACTTTTGTTTTACTTATTTTTTAATGGTACCCAAATCAATATCACTTTGCTATGAATATCACCTACAACTTGATCTTGACTTCATAACACTGTTATTTCAAAAACCTGCTTCAAAAAACTGATTTAAATACATTTTAGCTATTTTAAGATAACTTATAAGTATATGCATTACGAAATTAAATCAAAATTCATTACTTTGACTCACGTTATTGGTAAAATTAGTTCACCGCCACTATGGATCACACGGCCAACAGTACACTGTATATAACCGAGAAGAACCGAATTCTGAAATACAGAGTAACAAAAAAATGAGTAGTAACTATGATGAACAAATAATTTATTGGTAGATGTATATTCAACTGAGTTTACTACATTTCTTTCAAGCGATTTTCTGACATTATGGTTAACTAAATGATTTTCACATTATTTCAAGTGGATGTTAACATGAACTGATATCACAGCTAGACAACTATGCCTAATATGCTCAAATTGTAGAAAAATGTATATCCGAAAAGTTTTGAGTCTCCATTACATTTAGCTTTCCTGATAAAATATTCATTGTTTACTATTAATTTTTAAAGTAACCCTAATATTTCTGACTAGTATTTTTCAAAATAATGTTTTCATTTCGAAAATTACGCTTAACAATATATAAAAGATACTTTGATGAGTAAACAGACCAAATGGATACTATACTAATAAGTAATAAAGAGGACTAGACTAAATTATTAGGCTTCCTAATACCAGAGATTTGACATTCGGAGTAGTGTATGACTGTTTTTTTAAAAAAAGGCATTTAAATGTTAATTGGTTCATGAGTGTTGACAGAACTAGGTTTGATATGAATTGGTTGTGATAGGTGGATTATATACTTCACTTAAGGAAAACTTATAATCTTCTTTCATGTTATAAACTCTGCCTCTAGCTCCTTTAGGGTTACTGCTGCTGGTCCATAGCCAGAATGTGAAGGAGGGTTAATGATGATTCAGCAACCCCAACCCGTAGAAAACAACCTTTTTAAAAAACGCTAACCAAAAATAATTTAAAGCATTTAAACTCTGCCCTGGGAATTAAATAATCTTCATTCAGAAGAATTAGGACGCCTCATAGTGAAATCCGAGATTATTTGGAAGTCACGAGGCTGATGCTTCTTCTAAAACACAGTGCAACAATTAATATAGGCACATAGAATATCCGGACAATGTGAGAAACTGGGAGGACTAATCAAATAAATAACCCTGAAAACCCTTGAAAAACTGTTAGCATTGAACAGCTCTTTCGTTTTAGTATGAAACTTCTTTATTGTGCACATCAATAATCTCACCAACGTGGATCGAACTAAGGAACATCCATCTTGCTCGTTAACAGTCAACGTCTAGATCACTGATCACTTTTAGTCTTATCATTGTTTTACAATTTTTTCAAATACTATTCGAAGCTGGGTGACACTGGATCAAATCCGTCAGGGAGAATCAATTCCCTCAAAATTACAAGTACATCTTGCTGATGAGTGCCAAATAGTACGAAACCTAAGTCCATGACTTCCTGTTAACTGTCTCCAACCACAATCTTTTCTCAACATAGTGCACTCAATGTCAATTTACCTAGACTAGTGGTCAGATTGCAACTTAGTCGATAATATTCGATCTGCACTAAAAAGGATCTGACATATAGGACATTGATCACCACCCCGTGATCAATCAATTATAAACTATTCGTAATCATCTAATTTAAAATCAGATACATCAATTCTTATTTTGTACATAATTTCTTCCCCCCCCCCCAAAAAAAAGTAATAATAATCTCAATCAAAAATACACACATATTTATTTCCAAAAAAACGATTCATATTATGACAAATTTTCTTTTCTTTCCTTTTCTCTTTTTTTTCATAACAACTATAAATTGTTTCTATTTTTAGTCATAAAAAAAAACACACAAAAAAAACATTTTTTTGTTACAAACTACCAAGTTAATTTATGATATGAACTGAAAGAAGGAAAAGAAATTTGATATTTGGTGAAATAAATTTCCGTTCATTTAAATAATACATTATTAATTTTATTTCACCTAATACATAGTTCCAAGAATACTTTACAGGAATAATAAGACATAAAACACACACACACACAAATATCTATCTATCTATATATATACATAAGTCATATTCCTTGATACTTAGGAACAATAATGAAAACATCAACAAATCATGTCATAGAGAAGTAAAGAAAACAATTCTGTAAATGATTATTCCTTTTTTTTCTGTTTTGTTTTACGTTTTAACTGACATTTAACTGTAAGCATAAAATCAAATTTATGTATTTTTCTTTTGTAAACAAAATGTTTATGTTTATTTTACAAATGAAAAGAAAATCAATTTTCCCTTATATACTCAATAAATAATTAAGTTATTTTGATATTAATGATGATGATGATGATGATGATGATGAGGAGGAGGAGGAGGAGGAGAGGGAGGATGAGTTTGATGAGGATGATGAATTAGAGGGGTACCAAACAAAATATCATAAATTTCTTACTTTGAAAATGATGATGAATATAAAAAAATTTTTTTGTTTTGTTATCGACTATTATTAACTAGATCTATTTATATTACACATACAGTTATAAATGATGGTTAACAAAAAAGACTTGTAAAAGTTTATTAGATATTTAAAGGTATTTTCATTCATCTTGAATAAGTTAATGGAAGTTCGCCTCCTATAGGAAACATTAGTTTGTTCAAAATTAGAGATACTCTTAGATGATTTAGATTTTTTCTTAGAAATTATTACACTTTAAGAAAATTTATAATGTAACTGCTATAATTTTATGTTTAATTACAGGATAATAACGTTGAATTGATTATTAATGTTGATAAAGTTGTAAAGGGGAAATGATGAGAAGATAATTAATATGTGATAGTTGACATTATAAACTGAACTTAGTTTGAAAACCTCCGAAAACCAGGAATTATTGGATAGTAGTTTAGTGGTAGTATGGAACTTACATATTCCTCATCGTATGTGCCCAATAGGAATTTAGTTTGAATGGTGATTCCCAGAGTTAAAATGTAAGGTCGTGAACAATGGGGTTCAACCATATCAAATATGTGCAAGTTATAAATCAATGACATAAAAAGATGATTGCATGATAACGCGAATTGGTTGTCGAATCAATGTTTCAAAGGTCGAAAGCATCCACATTGAAAGCTTTGGGTCCTGAGTTACATCCTCCATGAGATCGTAAAAGCACATTTCTAAGGCATTCTATAGTAGAACGAAATGGCTATCCAGTTCTTTGAAGTTTTCAGTGGTTGTTTAACTAAGATCAGCCAGTAGTGCAAACTTTGAAGTTTAGTTATCTACATAAAACCCTTATACTAACATTCCTTAGACTTATTCACCTATAATGAACGAGACATCCAAGTAATAAATGTGTCAGGTGCTTTTTTTCCATGTTTTTGCAAATAGTGATGTAACAAGTATTGTTACTATAGCTGCTCTTCATTTCATAGTCAAAATTATGAACGTTATGTGACCATAGATTTTCAATAAAACTAAATAGAAAGTTTAATTAATTTTAGTCAAGTTGTCATGCAATTGACATTGAATTTAATTCAGGGATAATGCGAGTTCGAGCTTTTAACCAATAGACTTTTGCAATAAATGACGTGGTAAACGAAAATGCAAGGATTAAAAATTGGACTTTAAAAAAGTCACTATATGGAACGTGTAATTTTCCGTGATTTCAAGACCAGAATTGAATTGTCCTACCTTGAATGCTTTTATGTCATAAGAATAAATTTGATTTTGAAAGTTCTTTAACATCGTTAAACTGAAGTCAGAGTCTTTATTTAGAGCAATTTAAGACGACCTCCCACTTGTAGTATAATGCACTTGTAATCTTAAAAGAAGCGATGATTTCTAGTAGATTCGAATCCGTGTCACCCAGTTTCACAGTGAGGAATGCTATTACTGAGCTATTCGGGTTATTTGGATTGACCTCCTGTGTCACTGAAAGATTTGTTTACAATTGACTGATCACTGAGTAATGAACAATGTCATGTTTGTCAATTATTTTTTATTCATTTTTACTGGTGGTCACACTGTTAGCATTAAGAAGGAATTGAAATGAAAGACAGTGGTCACTACTCAGTGACCAGTTAATTGCAGATAAATCGTCCAGTGCTACATCAGGTCAGTCATCCCCCGAAAAGCTCTGTGGTAACGTCTCTGACTGTGAAGCTAACAGACATGGAGTCAAATCCACTATGGGGCATCATTTCCCTGAACAATACAAGTACACCTTACTGATGTGGGCCGAATAGCTTGAAACCTAAGTCCAGGGTTTCTTATCTACTACCTCCACCTACCACTTTACAAATCATTGATTACATAGTTGGTGCTTTTTAATTATTTACAGAGAGTTTTGTATAAAATTTGAACTGTATCTTACTGCTCTGATAAGATCGTCACTTCATTTTAAAAACTACTGAGTTCTAAGTATAAGAAGGACAGACTACTTATTTACATACAACTCTTCTCATTAGTACACGTGGTGAACAAGACAACGGGCGAGTATTACTTATTGCGGGAAATTCTTAAGCCTTTACATAATACGTATACCTAGCCTTTTTATATCGATTTACATCTCACAGTGTGTTCCGCAATCCAAAATGTCTTCTCGTCTGATCATTAAATGTCCTGTCCACGCTGTGCTTTCAATATACTAAAACTCTTCAATTTGTTTGATGACCATGAAAACTTCAAGGCCACATTCTACTACATACTTCTTACAAGCAATCTTGTGAATGGCGTTTACAATACTACAATGAATTTATTTTTGTCTTATTTAGAATTACTTAACTGAGTTACAAAACGATAACAATTATAGATATGTTAATAAACAGCGCAATTACAATCAAATTATCAAAATAAGATGAATTCATTCTATTTCATGGCTTCTAATCAGCAAACATATAAGGTTTAATATAATTATAAAAGGTTTAAAATACTTTAGTTAGTGAAGTTTATATGTAGAATAGAAACTAGTTTATGAAATCCAGAATACAATACACTCTTCTAGGTATGTATTGCTCCCTTAATATATATTAGTCCTCTTGTTTACTCTGTTACATCATTAATACTAATACAAATATATAAAATTTAAAACGAAACATGAATAATAATGTACAAGAGAGAAATGTTGACAGGATAATCCTTAAATTATAGTAGCTTTTGTTCTGCAGTTTATAAATGGTGTCTGCCAAAACGCTCGTTCAAAGA